CCCATGTCTCTCAGCAGGATATTGTGACCATCTTGCCATGTCTAACCCTTCTGGTTTGTATTTTAAATGACTGGTTTGGATCTCATCATATGGGTACACTGTAATTGGTTTGCTTAATCGCCAGCCTATGGCCTGTAAATCCTGACACCCACTTGCCAGTAGCACCCAACAGTCCTCCCTTGCTGGTGTTTCCCACCAGGGAGTCGTCAGTCTTTTTGTCCTGGCCCCTGTGCCAGGGCCGATGATGTCTCAGTCCTGTTTCCCCAGAGGCAGCATGGCGTCTTAGTGATGGTCTGTTGCTGTAAGCGAATGGCACAGACTGGGTGAGTCCTAAGGAAAGGAGGTATATTGAGCTCTGGGTTCTCAGCCTGGGAAGTTGAGGGGTTGAGGGCCTTCTTGCTGGGGTGGGTGGGGAGGACTCTGCAGAGTGCAGAGGCAGTGCAGGGTGTCTCCTGCAAGGGGGACTTGAGTGTCCTAGCTGGGATCTCTGTTGTGCCTCTTACAAAGCCATAATCCCATGGGACTTGGGCCCCACCCTCGTGACCTCATTTACTCTTAATTACCTCCCTGAGTCCCAGCTAGCAGAGTTGGATTGTTTCCACTCTTAACTGCCCACAATGGGAATTAGATTTCAGCATGAGTTCAGTGTGGACATTCAAAGCACAGAGCATGGAAACCACGTGTAAGCATCTAGACTTGAGGGCTGGCAAGAAGAACGTTTGGAGTTTGAGGAACTGGGGTGGTGATTGGGTATACTTGTATTACTTGGTATATATTGGGTAGATTTGCACCTGCTACCTCTTGGTTGAATGTGCATCCCTGGCTGTGTCGAGTGTGTTCTCCTGCTGAGTCCCAGACACCTGCCAGGCTCTGTGCGCTGTGAGCAGGCTGCCCTCTCCAACCTCCCCTGCCTGTCCTGCAGCCTGTCTGCTGCGGGAGTGCCGACATCCGTTCCCCGCCTTCTCGCTGCTCCTCCTCCTGTCTGGAGCGCCTTCTGTACAGCCGACTTATCCTGCTCCCCAGAGCCCAGCCCGGCCGTCCCCTCCTCCAGAGCCCATCCCTTCTTCACAGGCATCCTCAGTGTTAGCATAGCCTTCATTTCTCGGTTATTTTGTGCATGCTTGTTTGGTTGAGAGACAGCCCTCATTCTCTGCTTAACTGTCCAGATGTCTACAGTGACCAGGACAGGGTCAGGGTTGAATCAGGAGGTGGGAACTCAATCCAAGTCTCCCCCATAGGGCGGCAGGAATTCAATTCCTTGTGCTGTCACTGCTGCCTCCCAGGGTCTGCGCTGGCAGAAAGCTGAAATCGGGAGCTGGAGCGGGCTCTTGAACCCCGGGTCACTGATGTGGGACACAGGCGTCCTCCACAGGGGCTCAGCACTAGACCAAACGCCTGTTCCCCTCTTCATCTCCTCCCCAGCACATGCTACATTTCTTAAAACGTCTAAGAATTTGTTCCATTTTTTATTTTATATATTTTTCTGTGACTTGTATGTGTGTTTTTTTTCTTCCCAGAAACCTTTTGTTTAAGGAATTCAAACTTCATGCATTTCATAAGTACAACCTCAGGAACATAGTGATTCTTCCCATTGTACTCACCCTGCCACCCACACTCCCACCCTCTTCCTCCTCCATGTCCTATTCCCATTCTTATTTTTTACTAAAGTCTATTTTCAATTCACTTTATACAAATATGAATAACTATACTAAGAGTCCAACAAATAATATGGGAAAAAAATGTTCCTCAACAGTTGAGACAAGGGCTATTCAAAGTTGTCGCATCTCAAAGTGTCAGTTTCATTTTTGTAGATTACCTTTTAGGTACCTTTTAGATCAGGGAGAAAATATGGTGTTTGTCCTTTTGGGACTGGTTTATTTCACTAAGTGTGATGATTTATGTTTCCATCCCAAGAACTTGTTTTTGTTTTTGTTTTTGTTTTTTGATATTTATTCTATTTATTGAAGACATAGTTACAGGGGTAGAGCCAGAGAGAGAGAGAGAGAGAGAGAGAGAGAGAGATGTCTTTCATCTGCAGGTTCAGTCCCTAAATGGCTGCAATGGCCAGAGCTGAGCTGATCCAAAGCCAGGAGCCAGGAGCTTCTTCCAGGTCTCTCACATGGGTGCAGGAGCTCAAGGACTTGGGCCATCTTCTACTGTTTTCCCAGGCCATTGGAAGTGGAGCAGCTGGGACTCGAACTGGCGCCCATATGGGATGTCGGCACTGCAGGCTGGGTTTAACCCATTATGCCACAGCATTGGCCCCAAGAGTTTATTTTTAAAATTTGTTTATTTTCATTTTATTTGAAAGGCAGGATGAGAAAGATCTTCTGTCTCCTATTCACTCCCCAAATACCCCCAATAACCAAGGCTGGGCCAGGTTGAAGCCTGATGTCAGAATTCCACTCAGTCCTCCCATGGGAGTGGCTGGAACCCAAGTTCTTGAGCTGTCACCTGATGCCTCCCAGAGTGCACATTCGCAGGAAGCTGGATGGGAAGGAAGCGAGAACTTGAACCAGCTGCTCTGATATGAACACAGATGTACCAAGCAGCAGCTTAACTGCTGTGCCGAGCACCTGCCCTTGTCCTCATCTTCTGCTTATCTGTACCTCTGTCCTTTCTCTTTCGCTCCTCTGTATCACCAGGGCCTAGCACATGGCAGACAATACGTGTTGCTTGCCTAAACCAATAGTATTGAGTATTCCTGAGTCGACAGCAGTAGAAACTCCTCTCTGTGGTCCAAGGGGGCAGAAATGAATCCAAGTTTGTACTTCCAGAGGGAGGTGATTGATCAGCTTTTCAGTAAGGTTCCACAGCAGTGCGGCAAGTGTCTTCCTTGCGCGAGTTGTAGAACAGGGGCTGTGATACTGTTGAAAGAGTTCCTGCGCTGGCTGTTGAAGCTGACTGGATCCTTTCCCCTGCTTCTTCCCAGCCTTCAAAATGGGAGGACATGAAGTCACTAGTCCACCCTTCTTGTGTCAGCGGCAGATACAGCTTTCGCCACTAGGTGGCACTGGGTGATCCCTTTGAAATCATTTCTCAAACCCCTAGCACTTACACCCCTAGCATACACTGGAAACAGAAGTTTCAAGACAGTTTTAGGCTTTACTGCCTGAAGTGCAAGCTGATATTTTCTATTTAACCCTAGCCTAGAGTTTTTTTTTTCTTTTTCTTTTTTCTTTTTTGACTGGCAGAGTGGACAGTGAGAGAGAAAGACAGAGAGAAAGGTCTTCTTTTGCCGTTGGTTCACCCTCCAATGGCAGCCGTGGCTGGCACACCACACTGATCCAACGGCAGGAGCCAGGTGCTTCTCCTGGTCTCCCATGGGGTGCAGGGCCCAAGCACTTGGGCCATCCTCCACGGCACTCCCTGGCCACAGCAGAGAGCTGGCCTGGAAGAGGGGCAACCTGGACAGAATCTGGCGCCCCGACCGGGACTAGAACCTGGTGTGCCGGCGTCGCAAGGCGGAGGATTAGCCTGTTGAGCCACGGCGCCGGCCCTCTAGCCTAGAGTTTTTAAAAATGTGTATTTGAAAACTATTAAGCTGATTTTTTACAATGTTTGAGTCACAACTCAGTGCCTGACAAGCACTGTTTTAGAAGAAGTTCAACGTTGCAGTGTGGTCCGCTCTTTTCCCTTGGGCAGTCTGGGCTTATAGAGAAAAGTGTGTCCATTAGTGAGTGCTCTGCCTCTTTTTGTGTTGAGTTGAGGCATTGAGAAGCTGAATGTAGATGCTTCTTTATGGATGTCTGTGGGTGTGCAGATGTTAGAGGCTGTGGGAGACGTGCTTATGTAGAACTTGGCACCTAGGCCCTGTTGTAGTCAAGGTACAGGTTAAGTCTTGTTAGTAGAGAAAAAGCAGGGAAGAGATGAGTACGTGCTTTTGGGAGCTTGGAGTCTCTCCGTAGACTCACCATAGAGCACACACCCCCCTTAAATGTCAGCTTGCTCATCAGGCAACACGGACACGTGATGTTGCGCTGGACAGCAGTGAGGAGGCTGAGGCCGTGAGTACCAGAAGCTTGACTCAGGTTGGCTGAAATAGTCAAGACATTGATTGATTGTCTCACACAATAAGCACCGGGAGAACTGGCTGCAGGCCCACAGAAGCTGGGTGTGGCCGCAGGGATCCACGTTGTTTCCTTGGCTTAGTTGTCCTGAGCTGGATCTACGCAGGCTGGCAGGAGGCTTCCCGTGGAATCAGGGTCTCAGCTCCCATAGTGGAAACACCAACCTTGGCCAGAGAAGATTTAGGGGACCCTGAGCATTTTGCAAGTTGCAGTTGTTCTGTGTGCATTTTTCTGGCTTCTTCACCATGACCTCTGCAGTGTCATAGTTAAGAGTAGTTTCGAGGGGCCTGCGGTATGGCATAACAGGCAAGCTGCCACCTGCAGTACCGGCATCCCAAATGGGTGCCAGTTTGAGTCCTGGCTGCTCCACTTCCAATCCAGCTCTCTGCCATGGCCTGGGAAAGCAGTAGAAGATGGCCCAAGTCCTTGGGCCCCTGCACCCACGTGGAAGACTTGGAAGAAGCTCCTGGCTTTGCATTGGTGCAGCTCCAGCCATGGCGGCCAACTGGGGAGTGAAACAGCAGATGGAAGACCTCTCTTTCTCTTTCAGCCTCCCCTCTCTCTGTACTGAGCTCCTCGTCTACTGCTTTTCGAGTAGTAGTGACCTGACTAGCCCTGGCCAGTGCGTTTGCTAGTGATAGATGGGATGAATGGTGGCAAGTCTCCTGCAGGAAGTATGTGGCATTCGGCCCTGGGACGGGAGTTGGTCCTGTGAGGGAAAACCAACATGGGAAACGCGAGGAGCTGTGCGACAGGTGGAGGGATGGGTGGATGGTGAGTCTTTGCGTTTGCGCTGGGGCACTGAGCGAGCATGTGTTGGCCTTGTGGGCTGGACGGCTCTCCAGGAGATCGGGAGCTGCTTCCTGTGAGCTTGGCCGCAGATCCTTGGCCTGAACCTGCTAATCTCTGCCCACCTCCCTCCGTCTTCAGGTTTGCGGTGAGCCTCGGCTACTGGCATGACCCTTACATCCAGCACTTTGTGAGACTGTCTAAGGAGAGGAAGGCCCCCGAGATCAACAGAGGCAAGTGACCACCTCCCTCCCCCGGGGCCAGAGGTGTGGGGGTTTGTTAACTGGAGACCCAGTGCCCTCTCCAGCAGCATAGGAGAGTGCTCATTTCCCAGCACTGCACCTCATACAACGTTTTTTAACACAGATTTTTTTTTTTTTTAATATTTAAGTCATCTGCTGCAGTGGCCGGGGCTGGGCCAGACCAAATCTGGAGCGTGAAATTCCATCCGGTTTCCCAAGTGGGTGGCAGGGGCTGAAGCACTTGGGCCGTCCTCTGCTGCATTCCGGGTGGATTAGCAGGGAGCTGATGGGAAGTGGAGCAGCTGGACTGCCATCGGTGCTCTGATGTGGGTGCCTGTGTTGCAGGCAGCAGTTACCCACTCACTGCACCAGTGCCAGCACCTGTGAGACTTTCATCTTTGTGAATCTGATATGAGAAAAGCCTCCTACTGTAGTTTTACTTTGATTTATTTATTTTTTAAAGATTTATTTACTCTCTCTCCCTCTCTCTGCCTCTCCTCTATGTAACTCTTATTTGAAAGTAAGAGTTACACAGAGGAGAGGCAGAGAGAGGGAGAGAGGTCTTCCATCCGCTGGTTCACTCCACACTTGGCCACAATGGTGGGAGCTGTGCCGATCCGAAGCCAGGAGCTTCTTCCAAGTCTCCCACGTGGGTGCCGGGACCCAAGCACTTGGGCATCTTCTACTGCTTTCCCAGGCCATAGCAGAGAGCTGGGTCGGAAGTGGAGCAGCCAGGTCTCGAACCACCACCACTTCTCTCTCTTTGCTGCTGGTACTTCAGGCCAGGCCGTTAACCTGCTGTTCCACAGCACTGGCCCCTATAATTTTATTTTATATTCCTCTTAAGGTGACGTTGAACATGATTCTTCTGTTTGAGTCCCATTCAAAAATCTTTTACTGTGAATTGTGTTCATGTCAAAGATAACTTTTTATGGCCCCGTGATGGTGTTAGGTAATAAGACCGTTAGGCTCTGCGAGTAATTTTCATCAAGGAGGTTAACGGATTGGAGCCAGGAGCCTGCCGTACTCTCAGCCAGAAGGAAAAACTGGCCAGATGGCTGTCACACTGTGTGTGCAGGGACGTGGGCCCGCAGAGGACTCCTGAGGGAAGTTTTGTAAGGAGAGCAGAGAGGCTAAAGTGCCGCTTCCTGAGAACAGGGCTGTTCCCTTTCCTCTCCTCTCTCCTGTGCCCTGGAGGCGGGTTTCCCTCCGTGCTGCAGAGGCAGAGACCTGCCACACAGTGTCCCCCAGCCCTGAGCCCAGCTGCACGCCAGCATGCCTTCCTCCTCCTCTCGCCCTCTGCCTCTGGACTGGGGGGCCTACAACCCCGTAGGAGGGTGCTGCCCCGAGAGCGTGCAGTAAGGATCCTTGTCTTCCATTTCCAGTCCTCATGGGTGGTATTTCCCTACAATATGATAAAAATGATTTACCAGAAAATAAAATGAAGACATGCAAAGAATAAGGCCAAATTATTTACTAGTATATTGAGCAGAAACAAGGCTACTCTGCCAAATTGCAACAAAAGTTTAAAAAATGCTACTCTCAAATATCGTCCATAGAGGCAGGTGTTGTGGTGCAACTGGTTAAGCTGCCGCTTGGGACAGGCACATCCACTTGCAATCCATTTTCCTGCTGATGTACCTGGGAAGCCAGCAGATGATGGCCCAAGCCACAGTGAAATTTCTGGCTCCTTGTTTTGACCTGGCAGCTGTGGCTGTTAGCAGGCGTTTCGGGAATGAATCAGTAGATGGAAGATCTCTCTCTGTGTGTCTGTCATTCTACCTTTCAAATAAATAAATTAAAAAAAAATTTTATTAAAATAATCATGTGCAATTTAAAAACTCTTCGCCCACACACTTTGAGCACTTTGATTCTGTCTCTGTTCTTTCTTTCAAGTTTTTAGATTTATTTGAAGGCAGAATGACAGGGAGAAACAGAGATCTTCCATCTGCTGGTTCATTTCCCAAATGCCCACAACAGCCAGGGCTGGACTGTTACAAAGCCAGGAGCCTGGAACTGCATCCTTGGTCTCCCATGTGGGTGGCAGGGATCCAGGCACTTGGATGATCTTCTGCCTCCCAGTACATTATCAGGGAGCTGGATAGGAAGTGTGTAGTGGGCAGGAATGAAACAAGGTCTGTGATATGGAATGCAGGCGTCCCAAGCCACGGCTAATCCTACCGCAGCACAGTGCCTGCCCATCTTCCCTTCTTCCTGCTTTGTGTCCCGTGTCCTTTCTCCAGGCTTCTGCACCAAGACCTAAGTCATTTTCTTTGGCACCTGCTTACTTGTGCCCCTCCTCACTGGCCAACATTTTACTTGGAGCCTCTGGTGTGTTCAGGGTGGAGGTGAAAGGAACAGGATGAGAAATACGGTCTCCTTCAATTTAAAAGTCATCTGCTGGCTGGTGCTGTGTTGTAGCAGGTAAAGCTGCCACCTGCAGTGCCGGCATCCCATATGGATGCCGGTTCGCGTCCAGGCTGCTCCACTTCCAATCCAGCTCTCTGCTATGGCCTGGGAAAGCAGTAGAAGATGGCCCAAGTCTCTGGGCCTCTGCACCTGCGTGGGAGACCTGGAGGAAGCTCCTGCTCCTGGCTTCAGATTGGCCCAGCTGTGGCCAATGCAGCCTCTCTGTCTCTCTGTCTCTCTCTGCCTCCTCTTCACTCTCTGTGTAACTCTGACTTACAGATAAGTAAGTAAATCTTAAAAAAAAAAAAAAAAAGACAAAGTAAATCTTAAAAAAAAAAAATAAATGTAAGAGTCATCTGCCCCATTTCCTCACCCAAAGTTTGCATTTTACTGGAGTCCTGAGTGGGTTCATTGCAGCCATAGAAAGCTTATTTTCTTTTTCTTATTCTTTTTCCATTTCTTGTTCTTTTTCTTTCCCTTTTTCTTTCCCTTTCTCTTCTTCTTTTAAAGATTTACTTATTTATTTGAAAGGTGAAGTTTCAGGAGGGAGAGGCAGAGGCAAAGAGAGAGAAGTCTCCAGCCCCTGGTTTACCCCCCAGATGTCCACAACAGCCAGAGCTGGGCCAGGCTGCAGCCACGAGCAAGGAGCTTCTTCTGGGTCTCCCATTTGGGTCGAAGGCCCAAGCACTTGGGCCATCTGCTGCTGATTTCCCAGGCACACTGGGGAGCTGGATCAGAAGTAGAGCCACTGGGACTCGAACTGGCTCCCGTGTGGGATGCTGGCACTGCAGCTGGTGGCTTTACTTGCTATAGCATACCGCTGGCCCTGGAAACCAGACTTTCAGGAAGAGCTTGTTGTGCAACTGTTTCGATGTAAAACTTGTTTGTGTTAAATAAAACTGAGCATTTTATGTTTCTCAAGATTAAATAGCTTGTATTTGATTTGGCACAAATAACTTTTAAAAGAGAGAATTTGAAAGTTGGCATTTCTCACATCAAAGATAATCCTTTGGGCATGAAGAAGGGTCAGTGTTTTTTTTTGTTGTTGTTGTTGTTTACAGACTTATTTTATTTATTTGAAAGGCAGAGTAACAGTGAGAGGGAGAGACAGAGAGGAGGAGAGATCTTCTGTCTGCTAGTTCACTCCCCAGATGGCCACAGTAGCCAGGCTGAAGCCAGGAGCCTGGAACTCCATGCAGGTCTGCCACATGGGTGCAGGGGCCCAAGCACTTGGTCCATCATCCACCTCCTTCCAGGGTGCATTAGCACGGAGCTGGATCAGAAACAGAGCAGCTGGGACGCAAACTGGTGCTCTGTTATGGGATTTCCTCATTGCAAGTAATGGATTAACCGGTGGTGCCGTGTTGCCGGCCCTAGGTGTTCTGTTTTGCTCCTTTGTCAGATGGGCTTTGTAGGGCCAATTCCTTTTTTTTTTTTTTTTTTTTTTTTTGCTTTAGAAGCTTTTATTGTGTGCTGTGATCACCTTGGCCATCTCTGGGTTACTCCTGCTCCACACTGCAGTGGACTGAAGCCCACAAGGGCAGAACCGTGTGTGTCCCTTAGACCATGACATCCCAGCACCTGGCTCTGGGTCAGGGCACATAGCAGGTGTGCTGGCACCCGTGTGAGGTCAGCCGCCAAACCAGAGACACCAGGGTACCAGAGAGCTCGTGGAAAGCGGAGTCCTGGTCGCTTGGTTGGTGTACACGGCTCTGAAGTCCATGGGCGGCTTGTTCGTATGACTTGTTGTCCACGAACCTTCTGAGGAGCCCTCAGATTCCTGGTGTGAGCTGCGGACTGAAGCCATTCCACAGCGTCCTTGTGACAGTGCACAGTGAGGAGGGCACAGAACTGAGAAGTGCTGGGGAGAGCAGGTGGCAGTTTGATGTCCTCCTAAGACGAAAGCTCCTGGCAGTGAGCAGGACCCCCTCTGGCCCCTGTGGCACCAACCACATTCCAACCTCAGGTGGTGACTCCACGAGCAGCCCCTGTGCCAGCCGGCCATGCCCCTCCCCACAGGGACCTGGGCAGCACGGGTCTAAGTGAGCGCATCCTGGAGAAACCTGCCCGCCAGATGCAGTGGAGAGAGGCCAAGGTCTGTGGCCTGGGTGTCCTTGCTGAGAAGCAGAAGGCGCCTTGAACAGCTCCCTGCAGCTTTGCTGAGCTCCGCCTCCCCGTGTGGGTTGGGGGTGGGGGACTAATTGCTGACATCACTGAGCGGTAGCTTGTCTCTCTCCCTGTCTCAGGATATTTCGCACGAGTCCATGGTGTCGGTCAGCTTGTAAAGGCGTTTCTACAGAAAACAGAATGTTGTTGTCAAGTCCTCAACCTCGGGGCTGGGATGGATACAACCTTCTGGAAATTAAAGGTGAGTCCAAATTTTCCTCCTCCCTCCCCAGCTGTTGAGGTCTGTGTGGCTGAAAGCTGTAAAAAGCAGCCTAAGAGGTAAGAGGTGACAACGTGCCTCCTGCCCCATCTCCAGCCACCGTGCCCAGGTGCACCGCTCTGCCCCGGGTCCATGGTTTATCTGGCCAGAGCCCCAGTGGTACATGTTTCAGGTTGTTTTTAATTGTTGTTGCTCTCAGCATAATTAACACAAGTATCTGTGTGTATTTCCCCTGTACATGTGAAAACAGGAAGAAAAATTCCCCCAGTGGAACTGCTGGGACAAAGAGTCCTGATTGTGGGCATCGTGGATAAAACTTGGAGATTTGTGGGACTGGGTGATGATAATATGGTGCCAGGTCTTTTCTTGGCTTCTGATTTCATGCTTTAACTGCCATTTTTTTTTTTAAGATTATTTTATCCACTTGAAAGGCAGAGTTACTGAAAGAAAGGGAGAAAAGAGAGATAGAGATCTTCCATTGTTGGTTCACTCCCCAAATGGCCAGGGTTGGGCGAGGTTGAAGTCAAGAGCCAGGAGCTTCTTCCGGTCTCCTGGTGCATTAGCAGGGAGATGTGTTGGAAGTGGAACAGCTGGGACTCAAACCAGTGCCCATAGTGCAGCTGTAATTACACACACACAGAGGAAAAGAGACCTGTGTCTGGTGGGCGGCAGAGCCAGTCTTAGAGCTCTGAATTGCCAGTCTTGGAGACCTGGGCTGGGTCTTTACTGCCAAACCTTTTCCCTGCGAAGCCTCCTCTGGCTGTTTTCTTTGTTGTAGGTTAGTACAGAGTTTGCTCGCTTCTTCTATGAGGTCGGTCTTGTGGCGGTAATGGGTACGTGCATTTTGCCAGATTTCCTTGGAGGTGTAGACCGAGATAACAGAGTGTATGGACATACCCGGCCTGCAGATCTGTCTGTGGTCATCAGATCCCTGATAAAAGGTCTCCTGCAATCAGAGGTCCCGGCCTTTCTCTCATCAAGTGACAATTGGTGGCCTCCCCCCAGTCTTGGTACTCATTGTTGGCCTAGAGTAGGGTAGCTAACATGTCTGATGTGCTTTACAAACGTACATGACTGAATGCGTTGCATGACAGCTCTGTGAGGCTTCACAAATGAGACATGGGGCTGCAGAAGTCGTGTCTGTCAGAATTGCACGGCCAGTGGTATGGACAGGGGACAGATGCCGGCACCACGGTGGGCCCACTGTGTGTGTGTGTGGCGTGTCCCGGGCTGTGGTGTGAGGACCTAGAGCAGGACAGTGTAAGAGGCTCTGTGCAGCCTCCCCTGTCCTGTAGGTCCGCTGATGGTTCATCAATCTGCAGTTCCAGTTTCTGAGCAAAGTACGCTCAGGGGCACGCTGCACCCCTGCCCGAGAAAGAGCGTCTGTGCGTGCTGAGGAAGGGGGGTTGCAGTGTCTGACACTCCTCTGTGCAAAGTTTCTTTATTTTGATGGATGACTGTATTTGTCTGAAGGGTTTTTTCCCTTGGGGTGGGGAGTTCCAAGTTCTTTTGTAAATACCTATTATACGTACACGAGTGTGCTTGAACAAGTTTGTGGAGAGGCACATGTTTGGCTTGTGTGTTGGCAGTGTCAGTGTGCGTTAGCCTTGACAGTAGAGTTAAGTAGTGAGAACGGAGAGCATCTGGCCTGCAACAGCTTAAATGTTTACCTTCCGGCTCTTTTCAAACGTCTGCCCATTTCTGATTTAGAGATACACAGGTTTCCATGGAAGTGTATGGCAAACCTTGTCCGTTGGTCTTAGTGCCTCATGCACCTTCCACCCGGGCTGGTTCCCTCGTTGTACCTGCAGGCTCAGCGTCAGTCCTGGGCTTCCTGCCCTGCTGCCACTACTGCATGAGCTCCTTCCACTTGCTCTCAGGAGCCTGTGACTGTTTATGCCATGGAGGATTCCTGTTACGGTTTACAGAGGAGGTAGCTCCCCACACTCAGTGTGCACTTTTTTTTTTTTTTTTTTTGACAGAGTGGACAGTGAGAGAGAGAGACAGAGAGAAAGGTCTTCCTTTGCTGTTGGTTCACCCTCCAATGGCCGCCGCGGCCGGTGCGCTGCGGCCAGCGCACCGCGCTGATCCGAAGCCAGGAGCCAGGTGCTTCTCCTGGTCTCCCATGGGGTGCAGAGCCCAAGCACCTGGGCCATCCTCCACTGCACTCCCTGGCCACAGCAGAGAGCTGGCCTGGAAGAGGGGCAACCGGGACAGAATCCGGTGTCCCGACTGGGACTAGAACCCGGTGTGCCAGCACTGCTAGGCAGAGGATTAGCCTAGTGAGCCGTGGCGCCGGCCTTCAGTGTGCACTTTTAAATCCCAGAGTCTTATGTTAATGGCTAAGGGATTGGCGTCAGTGGTTGATGGATTAGGGTGCAGGCTTGATCTAGTTACGGTGTCTGAAGGTGAGGCCTTTGGGAAGAGACTGGATTGGACTCAGTAGCTAGTGCGGGGCCCATGACAGAACTGTAATGGACTAGAAGGAGGCAGTGAAGAGTCTGCTCCCCGGGCCTCTGCTTCCTGGCTCACCACGGCTCCTGCCTCTGCGCCCCTTCTCCCGTATCAGATGCTAGATTAACACAGCTGCCTGATTTGGACTGAAATCTCCGAAAGTCTCAGCTGAAATGAGCCTCCCTCCTTCCTAGGAAGCTCCTCTTGGGTATTTCCCTTGTCACAAAAATCCACCCGGTGAAGCTCCCATCTGGAGGGCAGAGGGCACAGGGCGGTCGATATTGTCACGTACACAGAAAGGAAAGGGCTAGTGGAACCCTTGAAGTGGACTCAGTTTCTTGGTGTCTCTTGGGTTCTGTCTCCACACGGGGGAAGCAGTGTGTCTGTTGGCAGTCTGTGACGGGGTGGCTGTCATCCCCTGGAGTCTGAGGCTGCCTTCTAGCGTTAGGTCCCGTCTCGGGCGTCTCCATCCTCCCCGCCATAGGTCTGGCACACGGGAGAGTGTCTAAGGTTGCAGAGAATCACGACACAGGAAGTTGAAGCCTCACTTGCTACAGCCATTTCACCTGTTTCTCTGTGCCAAGAAGCTGTTTCTTTGTTTGATTTATTTATTTGAAAGTCAGAATTAGAGGGAGTGAGAAAGAGAGATCTTCCATCTGCTGGTTCACTGCCCCCACCGAAATGGCTACACTGGCCAGGGCTGGGCCAGGCCTAAGCCGGGAGCTTCGTGAGTCTCCCACGTGGATCTAGGGGCCCAAGCGCTTGGGCCATCTTCCCCAGCTTTCCCAGGCAGGTTAGCAGGCAGCTGGATCAGAAGTGGAACAGCTGGCACTCAAAGTGTGAAGCCACAGTGCTGGCCCCGAGGCTGCTGCTTTATAGCTCCAAGTGTGCCCTTTAGGAGCCTTCCTTATGCAGTGAACTCAGAGGTCTTCTGAGAGTCACGTGAGCCAGTGCATGGGAAAGCTCTTTTTTTTTTTTGTTTTGTTTTCAAAATGCTGTTATTTATTTATTTATTTATTTATTTATTTATTTATTTGACAGGTAGAGTTAGACAGTGTGAGAGAGACAGAAAAGTCTTCCTTCCGTTGGTTCATCCTCCAATTGGCACTATGGCTGGAGCTACGCCGATCCAAAGCCAGGAGCCAGGTGCTTCCTCCTGGTCTCCCATGTGGGTGCAGGGCCCAAGCACTTGTGCCATCCTCCACTGCCTTCCTGGGTCAAAGCAGAGAGCTGGACTGGAAGAGGAGCAACCGGGACTAGAACCCTGCGCCCAAATGGGATGGCAGCGTCACAGATGGAGGATTAACCAAGTGAGCCATGGAGGTGGCCCCGGGAAAGCTCTTTCGAAAGGAGGAAGGCCTTTAAGAGTTGGAGGACACTGTTACACCCGTCATTCATTTGCTTTCTGGAAATTTGGAAGATCTTTAACTTTCCATACCCTGAGAGTAGAAGTTCTTAAAAGGTGGTGTAGAATTTCTAAGCACAGGTTACATTCATGGGGCAGGTGTTTTGGCACAGTGGGTTAAGCTGCCACTTGGGATGCCTGTATCCTCTATCCCTGTGCCTGGGATGAATTCCCCCCTCTTCATTCCCATTCAGCTTCCTGCTAATGTGCCTAGGAGGTAGCAAAGGATGGCCCAAGTGCTTGTGGCCCTGCCACCCACATGGGAGACCCAGATGGAGTTCCTGGCTCCTGGCTCTGGCCTGGCCCAACCCTGACTGTTGCAGACATTTGAGGAGCACCAGCAGCTGGAAGACCCTCTCCGTACCCCACCTTTTCTTTCTATCTCGCTGCCTTTCAAATTAATTAGTTAATTTTGAAAAAGATTACCTCTGGTACGAGCTTTCCAGTGCAGTGGGTTAAGCGGCAGCCTGTGATGCCAGCATCCTGTGTATGCACATTGGATCGAGTCCCGACTATTCCACTTCTGATTCTTCTCCCTGCTAATGCGCCTGAGAAGGCAGCAGAAGATGGCCCGATGCCTTGGGCCCCTGTGCCCACGTGGGAGACCCAGAGGAAACTCCTGACTCCTGGCTTTGGCCTGGTCCCGCCCTGGGTGTTGGGGTGTTGTAGCCATCTGGGAAGTGACTGGTACATGGAAGACCTCTCTCTCTTTCTTTCTCTCTCTCTGCCTCTGCCTCTCCCTCTCTGTAACGCTGCCTTTGAAATAAATCTTAAAAAATAAATAAATAAATAAAAAGCCTGCAGCAGCAGCCCATTGGTCTTGGTGCCTTGTGCTGCGGGTGAGGAAGATGATCAGCGAGTATGTGGGTGAAGAAGCACTGATAAAGACTGTGTGTGTTTTCCGCAGGATGAAGGTCTCCTGCCAAGTAAATATTTTGAAGTCGACTTTCCGATGATAGTAACGAGGAAGCTGCACAACATCAAGTAAGTGTGGACGTCAGGCCCAGGGTCAGGGCTTCTCAGCAGTCTCATTCGCACGCACACACCCACCCTCTGAACTGGTACTTTAAATAAAATCCTACTTCTTATGTTAAAAACTTTGTTTAATGAACACAGGAGTTTCAGCTTCTAGAGATGTCTGATCCTTCCAGATTGGAAATATTGTTCAGGCTTCTTCTTTTCCGGGTTATCCTTTGAAAATAAATTCTTTACCTTTTCTAAAACAAGATTGCATTTTATATGAAACATGCTATTAATATGGAAGTGGCATTTCTGATGCCCTGGGAACTGCAGACCACACTGAGCTGTTAGAACTCTGCATGAAATGAGAGTAAATGGGCTCTAAGTGAGGCCCAGAGGTGGTTCCCTCAGATAAAGAGTAGATTGGTGCTGTGTGTACCTGTTGGGATATTGAGTTTGGGTCTCCGATTGCTGATTTTTTTCATATGTTGGGTTGGTGGAGTTATCACAGAAATGTTACTGAACTTTAGGTTTGTGTAAGAATCACTTCTTTCTATTACCTAAGGCAGATCACAGCTGCTTAAAATTTTTTGTTTGAGAATAGGAAAGAAACTCGAATATTTAGAAAATTCTTGTTAGCCTGTCTTTAACTGTTTCTGAGTTTAAGCGCTTTTTGATCACTTTGTGATTTGCCCATTAAATCTTGAATATACTATTTAGCAGCCCTAGTCTGAATATACACTGAATTCTTATTGTGTGTGCCTGGGGTCAAATGTATTTACCTAGTGGCTCTGCACAGTAGCAGCATGTACAGGCTGAGCACTCCTGATCTGAAAATCCCAAATGCTCCTAATTCTGACACTTTTTGAGCATCGTGTCTGAGTGGGGATAAACAACAGAGAAACTCTACGCAAATATTAAAAAAAAAAATCCAAACTCTGAAACATTTATATTCTCAACATTTTGGGTACAAGCCCCTCCCCCTGTGTCTGCCCTGTCACTAGCAGGATCTGCACTTTTGCAGCCAGGGAGCTCTTGAGTAAACTGACTCATCCTTCTCCGTTGTCCCGTCTTCCCTCAGATGCAAGCCTGTCCTGCTGAACCCCATTGTGGAGTTACACTCAGAGGACACGCTTCAGATGGGCAAGTACTCGGAACCCGAGGAGTGCAGTGTGAATGCTGGAAGCATTTGTTTGCTACCTGTTTTTCCTTTTCCTTCTTAAAGATGTGTGTGTGTGTGTGTGTGTGTGTGTGTAGGGGGGTTTTACACAACATATGCGGCTGCTGATAGATGCTTACTTGTAGCACAGTTACAGTGAAGGAATTTACAACGACTTTCTGTGTGACTCTTCTTAGATGGCCTTAGGTCCCCAAGCTTAAATTTTTTTTAAGATTTGTTTTTACTAATTATAAATGCAGAGTGACATAGAGAGAGGGCGAGACAGAGATCTTCCATCTGCTGGTTCACTGCCCAAATGGTTGTAACAGCCAGGGCTGGGCCAGGCCAAAGCCAGGAGCTTGGAACTCCATCTGGGTCTCTCATGTGGGTGGCAAGGGCCCAAGTACTTGGGCCATCACCCTGCTGCCTTCCCAGGCTCATTAGTGGGGAGCTGAATCAGAAGCAGAGGGGCCGTGCTCAAACCAGGGCTCTGGCATGGGATGCCAGCATTATAGGCCGCAACTTAACCCTCTGTGCCACAACACTAGCCCCTTAAATCAGTTTTTTTAAAGAATTGCAATTAGTTGCTAGCATTTCAAAAATAGATTTCTCATGAAAAATCTCAGTTGCCACCTACCCCTGGAAGAATCAGGATGTGGTAACATTAGACCCTAATTCCAACACGGCAGTAATTGGTGGCAGCTGCCTCATTTAGAGGAACTGTGCCTCCTCCAGGTCTGGCCTCCATCCACTGTCTTACTTGAGCAGCTCCACTCATGTATAGTATCTGCTGGGCCCCTGCAGTCTGGTCAGTTTCTCTGCCCAACTTTTAATTAGGAATGTTTCTATCAATACTCCCCTCACCTCTGAGCCTTTCAAATTACGAGAGTCTCTTTCAGAATCTTCCATTATTTTCAGTTTGTGTCTGATGGAGCAGTTCAAAGAGTGTATTAGTTCCCAAGATCATAAAACCTGCTCTGTGAAGATAGCCTTCTGTAAAGGTCAGTGTGGGAAATATCCCCACCTGTCCCCCAAGAGATGGACTCAGACTCACAAGTTCAGGGAAAACGAGACTTTGTTGTTGGTCTTGCAAGATCAGATGTCTGAGGAGCAAGCACACGCAGGAAAGTTACAGGAAATCATGTGTATCCTAGCACAGGTCCTCCCCTGGTTCCTCACTGGCTGAGTACTGTGGGGTGTGCAGTCTTCTCCTGAGGTCACCTAAGTGATAGTTACCTTTCTCAGTCCTTCTCTGTACTTTAATTTCCTCTTGTCAGTTGCTTACTCCATAGCATCCTGTTTGCCTGAACGACTCTGCAACTCAGCCAACAGTCATTTTCCATGCTGTGTTGAGAAAGGACCACCAGACATTTTCTCCCCCCGCCCCCAGAAACCTCTTATTTAAGGTATACAAACTTATGCGTTTCATAAATACAAATTTGGGAACATAGTGATTCTTCTCACCCTACCCTTCCTCCAACCTTCACTCCTACCCTTCTTCTTCCTCCCTCTCCTATTCCCACTTTTCTGTTTTAATAAAATCTATTTTCAGTTAATTTTATGCATGTAAGATTAACCCTACTCCAAGTACAGAGTTCAACAAATAGTATGAGGAAAAAAAAAAACACAAAAAAACTGTTCCTCAGCAGTTGAGACAAGGGCTGTTCAAAGTCATCTGCTAGTTCACTCCCCAATTGCTTGCAACAGCCAGCACTGGGTTCAGGCTGAAGCTAGAAGCCAAGAACTCCATCTGGGTCTCCCACATGTATGATAGGGACCCACGTTCTTGTCCCATCACCTATGCTTTCCCAGGTACAGTAGCAGGAAGCTGGATTGGAAGCCAGAGCAGCCAGGACTCCAACTGGTTCTGTTTTGTGGAATGCCAACCTCACAAGTGGCAGTTAACGCATGGTACCACAGTGCTGCCCTCCCCAGAATGAGTTTTTAAAACAGAAATCAAGGCAGTCCATACAGCAGACTCATGGAATGATAATTGCTTCAAGAAGCACTCTGACCTCAGAATCAGCCCTGAAGGCATTCTGGTTTGGCTGAAAAGCCCATGAGGGCATTTCAGGTGTGGAAAGCCAAGGCACTGTGGCAAAAAGTGTCCTACATACATGAAGGACTTCTGTGGGCGAGACCCTGGTGGAAAGAAGTGAAAGGGTATACTTTTCTTTGAAGGGAGGAGAGAACTTCATTTTACTTACGGCCTTGTCTAAATAATGAAGGAGTTTGTGGATTCAAAAGGCTTCCATAGCCTAGGCATCTCATGTCAAAAGCCTCGGGTGATCACTGACATCATAGTTAAGAGTGTTAATTGTTAAATTAACAACAGGAGTCACTGTGTACTAACTTCCCATGCAGGACCTCTGTCCTCAAAGGGTTGTGTTATGAGAGTTAATAGTAAAACTTGTTCCCAAAGATTTACTTTGTTTTAGTGTATTAAGTGGAAGATATTCTTATGTCTCATAAATTATAGTTATGTCTAGGTGCTCGCGGGCCTCTGTGTGCCTCCTGATTTATTTTCAGCCACAGTAACCCTCATCACCACAGGGGTCTGCTGCTGTCCTCTGAATGTGCCAAGGCATCCTGTGCCCCAGGCCTTTCCTCTTCCCTCCGCCGGGTCTTTTCTTCCTTCGCAGTTTACTTGATGATCTGCTTCTCATCCCCTGTTCTCAGTTCAACCCCCACCTCCTCCGAGAGGCCTTCCCTGACTACCAAGCTGCGGAGCAGTCTCCTCTCCTTGCTGCCTGAGGCGTCACTCTTCTCACACTACCTTCTCTAGTTGCTTCCCAGGACCACGTCCTCTGATGTCATCTTAATTATGCATTTATTTACTCGCTCGCTCGCCCTCTCCCTCTGCCGTGGAAGCTTCCTGAGAACACCTGTGTGTTGTTGCGCCACATCCCCAGCAGCTAGGACAGTGCCCGGCACACCGGGAGTGCTGAGTGAGTAAACACACACACCTTACCTGAACGACTCTGCGCTTTTGTCACCCATCTCAGCTCCTTGACGGAGTGAGTGGGTGTAAGGAAAAACAGTCAACACAGACATTTCAGAGCGTTCCCCGGCCTCACAGTTGAGCCCTCAGGAGGAGGGTCTGTCCGGGGAGAAGACTGCCCGATGAGGAAGGGCGTGCAAGGAGCTGGCAAGCTGTGTGGCTGGCGCTGGCATGGAGGGAGGAGTGTGGTTCAGGGTGAAGCTGAAGAGAAGGTGGCAGGGACAGCATCACCCGGGTTCTCCAGCCCTGCTAAGAATGCAGATTCCATGCTGAGAGAGCTGGGAAACCGTCCTGCATGCCCTTCGCCACACGTGGCCTTGTTCCTGATTCCTTTTCCCTGCAGGATGGTGTGGGGAGCAATCCGGACTAGACTAAGTTGCTCGAATTAGGACTTATTCTATGCATCTGCTCTCCCACAATATGGCGCTGGGAGAGAAGTAAACAGCTTCCGCACAGCTGCCTCCAGTTCAACCAATTAACTGTAGGACTTGCTCCTGATTGGAGAGCAGCGTACTCAGCCGAGTTGGGATTGGCGGAGGAGGACTATAAAGGAGGAGAGAGACGGCATGCACCAGAAACATCTATGGGGAACATCTAAGGGAACCCGTGCAGCCCCCCAGAGAGCCGGCCGGCGGTGTGCCGCTCCCCTGCGGAAGTGGGGAATGCGGCCAGGGGGAACTGCCCTTCCACGGAGGTGGAAGGGATAGTAGCCAACCCGGGAAGAACCAGCAGCAAACCCGGGGAGGGCCGAGCAGACGAAAGAACAGCGCAGGGTCCTGTGTTGCTCCTCCACGAAGAGGGGGAGCGACAGGATGGGCAGGGACCAAGCCTGCTTTTCTTCAGCCTATCCCAGAACATAGTGAGCGCTCACTGAGTATCAGAGGGTGGACACGTGGACACAGGAAATCCTCTTTATGGCCCAGCAAACCTCCAGAAGTGTCTCCATTGTTCCTCTCCCCACCCCCTACCTAAAAAGTGTCCCAGGGAAAATCTATGCATCTTTGCAATCCTCACCAATAATTGGTCTTTCATTGAAGACATGGTGCAGGCAATTGATGGGATCCACCAAACATCAACACACTGCTCCTGCTACACTTACTTGGTGGTGATGGAATAGATCCTTAGTTCTGTGATACAGCAGCACTGTGGACTGTGTGTGTGTGTGTGTGTGTGTGTGTGTGTGTGTGTGTGTGTGTGTGTGTGTGTGTGTGTGTGTGTGTTTTACTGTGTTACTTTATAAAGCTTGATGCTTTTCCAGGTTAACATAATTAAAGCATAGGAGCTTGATGAGGCCGATAATTAAAGTCTGTAGAAGCTTTTGCCCCATTAACAAATCCCTGCAACACATGTGGCTTCGAGCGTCAGCTGTCTCTTAGGTCACAATTCTGCAGGCTGACCAATCGTGGGTTTGTCTTGGTGGACCTTCGAGCACTTGGCTGGATTTCACCGGGGGTCTAGTCTCTGCCAGAGACCACATGTGTAGCAGGCACTGACTAGCCTAGGGGGCCCACCTTTCTTGGCTCATAGTGCCCTGTGTCTCAGCAAATGTTTCACAGAACCCTAAGGCAAGTAAACAAACAAATGCAGCAGTTCTGTGTATCACTTATTTGGGTTCAGACATCTTAAATATTTACATCCTAACAACTTAATTAGTCATTTGGGAAAATAATGCACATTACGTTGAAGGAACAAACGCTATTTTTATTTCACTCTTGAATAATCACAATTGCGACTAATGAGCTGTGTGCCCTCGTTGAGCACTTGATGCTGTCACTTTGGTATCAGCTGGGACACTGCCCCGTCCACCTTGATGTTCACACAGTACTTTTCAGCCACACCAGCGTCTGTTACTTGGCTTTGGGAAGATAGGAGGTCAGGAAAGGAATGCACAGCAGTCTAGTGCTGAGCCTGGGGCTGAGTCGTGCTGGTGGTTTGCTTCTGTCTGACCAGCGCCGAGCCTCTGCGTTTCCCTCAGAGATGTAAACTATCTCCTCCACCTCTGTGAGTCTGGGGCCACCCCAGGGCCCCATGGCATATGGTTCAGGATCTAGGGAGCTCAGTGCATTGAATCTGAACTGTAATCGCATGAGATGGGCATTGTCTACATCAAAGATCAAAGGAAAGGTAACCTTGAGTGGTGACGGAACTTGCGCAGAGCCACATGGTTAGCAAATGCCGAGTAGAAATGCGATCTCAGGACTGCTTGAGACCAATGCCCAGGCTGCTACAGATTCACTTCAGAGAGTTTTTGCCTTGGAGACACTGTTCTGGGGAAAAGCCACAGTGTGCCATTTCCCCTGGCAGAGAATAATTAGGATTATTTAAGGATTTTAAACCATCTAAACCATCTAATACTGACTAATGATTTTTTTTTTTTTTTTTTTTTTTTTTTTTTTTTTTTTTTTTGGACAGGCAGAGTGGATAGTGAGAGAGAGACAGAGAGAAAGGTCTTCCTTTTGCCGTTGGTTCATCCTCCAATGGCCGGTGCACCGCGCTGATCCGAAGGCAGGAGCCAGGTGCTTCTCCTGGTCTCCCATGGGGTGCAGGGCCCAAGCACCTGGGCCATCCTCCACTGCACTCCCGGACCACAGCAGAGAGCTAGCCTGGAAGAGGGGCAACTGGGAAAGAATCTGGCGCCCCAACCGGGACTAGAACCCGGTGTGCCGGTGCCGCTAGGTGGAGGATTAGTCTATTGAGCCGCGGCGCCGGCCTAATGATTCTTGAAATTTGTGTGTAACTTTGATGCAGTGTTTCTTAGTCTCAGCACTGTGGACATCTTGAGGGCATTGGATGACAGCAAAATCATATGATGGCCATTAGCGCCCTCTAGTGTGACCTTGCAACATGTTCCCTGGTGGCAAAATTACCCTGTTTGAGAACCATTGCTTTACTTCAGAAATGACCAAAGTCTATTCTGGCCATATATAAATTGATTCTTAATTTTTCAAACCACAGTATGATGTCATGTTTTCAGGGCTTCTCCCTCTTCCATCCTCTTGGGAATGAGTCATCTAAAGAAGTGTTGATCACAGAAAGAACCACCGGTAGCCATAGAGAGTGTTCATTGGCTTTTCAGGACAGGGTGGCTATGATCTGTTCCTGTAGAAAGTTCCTACGTATCGCACTAAACACTCTGAGTTCCCTTCCATTTTTTATTCTCTTATGAAACAGAATGAGGAGCAGAGGGAGGGAAAGCATCGTGGAGCCCATTTCATCCACGAGTTATTTTCCCCAGCAGCTCACAGCGTCATCCCAAAGGTTCCAGGGTTTTTCTGTTCTTCCTTGGTCTCTGCTAGTGCTCGTGTCCTCCACAGTTGCATTCTGGTCCCTGCAAAATGAGGTCAACATCCTTCCAGGGCCGGCGCCGTGGCTCACTAGGCTAATCCTCCGCCTAGCGGCGCCGGCACACCAGGTTCTAGTCCCGGTCGGGGCGCCGGATTCTGTCCTGGTTGCCCCTCTTCTAGGCCAGCCCTCTGCTGTGGCCAGGGAGTGCAGTGGAGGATGGCCCAAGTGCTTGGGCCCTGCACCCCATGGGAGACCAGGAAAAGCACCTGGCTCCTGGCTCCTGCCTTCGGATCAGCGCGGTGCACCGGCCATTGGAGGGTGAACCAACGGCAAAGGAAGACCTTTCTCTCTGTCTCTCTCTCTCACTGTCCACTCTGCCTGTCAAAAAATTAATAAAAAAAAAAAAAATCCTTCCAGGATAGATCATCCATCTGCTTTTTTTTTTTTTTTTTTTTTTTTTTCAAGATAATGTTTATTTGAAAGGCAGAGCAACAGAAAGGGAGGGAGATACAGTGAGAAAAAGAGAAAGGTAAGCTGGCACTGGGCGTATCGTGTCATATGGGCACCAGTTCAAATCCTGGCTGCTCCACTTCCACTCCAGCTCCCTGCTAACACACCTGGGAAAGCAGAGGAAGATGGCCCCAGTCCTTGGGCCCCTGCACCCACGTGGGAGACTTGGATGAAGTTCCCGGCTCCTGGCTTCAACCTGTCCCATCCTTGGCTGTTGTGGCCATTTGGGAAGTGAACCAGTGGATGGAAGATCTCTCTGGCTCTTGTTTTCTCTCTGTATCTCTGCCTTTCAAATAAAACAAAGCTTAAACAAAAAAAAAAAGTCAGGAAAGTAATAAAGGGGAAGCAGGGAAGCCACAGTCTGCCCACATTGCCCCAGTGCACAGGCCAGAGAAGTCATATCAGAGCATGAAGGCCCTGTCCTGTCCTGTGCAAGCAAGCAGTGCCCGAATGCATTAACAATACGTGTGTCTGGCCTGAGTTTTCCATCCCTGATGGAAAAAAAAAAAAGAAAAAAAAAAAAGAAAAAGATACAAAACACCAGCATTTTGGAGCATCCTGTTCTCTAGCTCAGGGAAGACGGATCTGACTCAGATTAGGAAGGTAGCTTGCAGAGTAAAACTCCCCTGTCAGCACAGTCACTCCCAGAAACTGAGTCAAGCCACACAGAGCTGCAAGGCATTGGTGACTAGAGGTCACGGTGAGCTGGCATCACAGGGAATCTGGTCGTGCTGGATCGGGCCCCTCAAGTAACAGGGTTTGATGACTGTAACACACACCACCATCACAACACACTTGCTCAGGGGTTACACAGGCTGTGTATGCACCGCAGATCCAGGGGCAGCGTTGCAGGGCAGTGGATAGGCTACTTCTCACAATGTCTGCATCCCTCCTTGAAGCGCCTGGTTCAAGACCCAGCTATTCTGCTTCCAATACAGCTGCGCTTTATGCACCTGGGAGGCAACAGATGACAACCCAAGTATTTTAGTTCCTGCCACCCATGCGGGAGGCTGAGGTGGAGTTCCTGACGTCAGTTTGGCCCAGCCTCGGCCAGTGTAGGCATCTGGGAGACTGAACCAGCAAATGGAAGATTGTGTGTGTGTGTATGTGTGTGTGTGTGTGTGTGCCTTTCCTCTGTAACTCTTTCAAATAAAATCAGTCTTAAATACAGATTTCTACTGTTGGAAGATCTGCAGAATGAGCCCATCAGACTATGCTTATTTGTTTTTAAAAGTTTTATTTCTTTTATTTATTTGAAAAGTAGGGTTACAGAGACAGGGAAAGAGAGAGATTTTCCATCTTCTGACTCACTCCCCTGATGGGAGTGAGCATCCGCTGCTTTCCCAGGCACATGAGCAGGAAGCTGGATTGGAAATGGATCAGCCAGGACTCACAGCGGCACCATGTGGGATGTGTCGCTGCAGGCAGCCACTTTCCCCACCATGCCACAACACCAGGCCCCAGACTGTGCTTCTTAGCAAGCCCTCCCAGTGATGCTGATGTCTGCGAGGCTGAGAGCCCTGTGTACACCATTCCATCCCACTGGGGAGAATATGGAAAACAAAATGTTTCCATTTTATTTATGAAAACTTCAGGACATAAAGTGTACTCTTTTAAGCATAACACATTACAAACTGGCACAACAGTACCCTGCCCATGGGTATCAGTATTTTAGTGAGCTTGCCTGCTGATCTCTTAATTCCACTTTTTTTTTGTTTGTTTAAGGATTTATTTGTATTTATTTGAAAGGCAGATTTAATTGTATTTATCTGAAAGAGAGAGGTAGAGACACAGAAAGAGAGGTTTTCCATCCGCTGATTCACTCCCCAAATGGCTGCAATGATCAGGGCTGGGCAGCCCGAAGCCAGGAACCAGGGGCATCTTCTGGGTCTCCCACGTGGGTGCAGACGTCCAGGCACTTGGGCCGTCCTCCACTGTTTTCCCAGGGTCATCAGCAGGGAGCTGGGTCACAAGTAGAGCAGCCAGGATTTGAACTGGCGCCCATATGTGATGCCAGCGCTGCAGGACGGGGCTTTAAAACCGCTGCACTACAGCGCTGGGCCCTGTTAATTCCACTTGTGGTGATCTACTCTAGAGAAATAACTGGACAGGTGTTTCATGGTAATATATACACAGAAGAAGTTTTTAGAACAGGTGTGGGGTAGTTCCATTTTCTTTTATGTGCTCAGTGTATGTGAGAGAGGGGGAGAGAGTGTGTTTTGTTGTGCCCAAGATCTTAGCACATAGGCAGAAAGACTGGAATGTTACATACCAAAGCACTTACAGTTATATTTGGACATTGTGATTTTTGATCAGTTTTCACCCTCCTCTTACCTAATGCTTTTTTTTTTTTTTAAGATTTATTTTATTTATTTTGAATGACAGAGTTACAGAGAGGTAGAGACAGAGAGAGAGGTCTTCCTTCCGCTGATTCACTCCCTAGATGGCTGCAACGGCCAAAGATGTGCCGATCCAAAGCCAGGAGCCGGGAGCTTCTTCCGTGTCTCCCATGTGGGTGCAGGAGCCCAAGGACTTGGACCATCTTCTCCTGCTTTCCCAGGCCACAGCAGAGAGCTGGATTGGAAGAGGAGCAGCCGGGACTAGAACTGGCGCCCATATGGGATGCCGGTGCATCAGGCTAGGGCTTTAACCCACTGTGCCACAGTGCCTGCCCCAACCTAATGCTTTTAAAATGTTTATTTTCATCTACTTGAAACAGTGAGCATGTGTTTTTATAATGGGTAAGAATAGTAAAGTTACTTGAATTGTTAAAAAGCCTCCTACATTGAAATTATGTTTTCTTGGTGAATTTCTGCTGAAGTTATTCTCCCTCATTGCATTTGCAGATGGACACATGTTGGATTCAAAGAGATATGCCATTGTTGGAGCAGACCTCCGAGACCTATCTGAACTGGAAGAGAAACTAAAGAAATGTAACATGAATACACAGTGAGATTTTTTTTTTTAACCTCTTATGCGTTCATGACTTTATGCTCATCCTGAGATAAGCCCACTGGCAGATGCAGCACGATGCCTGGGGCCCATTTTCAGTGTGGATGTTTTCTCCTCTCATGGCTTCTTGAGTCATTTTCTGGAATTTTCAAGGAACACCTTTGCTCAAGTTTGTACCCCTGTCGGACTCACCCATACTCCCCTCCCCACCCCCTTTTTCACTTTGAGAGGCAGACACATACACAGGTAGAGAGAGTGTGAGTGCATGCACCTGTCTGCTGGTTTGCTCCCCAAATGCCTGCGACAGCTGGAGCTGGGCTCGGGCTGAAACCAGAATCCAAGAACTCTATTTGGTCTCCCACATGGGAGCTTTGAAACACCAGGAAACTCAAGTGGTATCTTAACTGCTAGGCCAAATGCCCACCCCTTGCCATTATGTTTTTTCTTTACGATTCTTTAAAGTTTTGGCATTACTTTTTTAAAATACTTGTGCCTAGTGTTATAAATAAGTTTGAGAGAATATAGTTGTATGGATAAAAACACAATTGCAATGTATAAAGAAAGGATTAGTATCAGAGTGTATAAAGAATGACTACTGTTAAAAAAAAAAAAAAACCTGCAGCTCAGAAGCAGCTAAATGTCCTGTGAGAACTTGAGTAGTAATTCTGTGAAATTCTTTTACTCCCTCCAAGTTGGCACAGACATAAAGTTGACAGTGTCAAGTATTGGCAAAGATGCAGGGCCTAGGGAGTGGTCTTACACCACTGGTGGGCGTGAACATGGACCAGTTGTGAGGAACACTGAGAAAGTATCTGGTGGAACTGAATGTGTGCACCACATGGTACAAGAGTTCCGCTGTTGAACGTTCCCCGACGAGGTCCTGCACACATGCGTAAGGAGGGTTCCCATCATCTGCACTGTTGGATTGATTGGAAGGCAGAGTGACAGTGAGAGGGAGAGACATGGACAGGGAGACAGAGTGAGGAAGAGGACAAGCTTCTGTCCTCTGGTTTACTCCCCAAATGGCCACAACATTTATGTCTGGACCACGCTAAAGCCAGGAGCAGGAACTCCATCCGGGTCTCCCACATGGGTGCAGGAGCCCAAGCACTTGGGCCGTCTGCTGCTGCTTTCCCAGGCCCATTAGCAAGGAACTGGATCTGAAAGAGAGCAGCCAGCGCTTGACTTGGTGCTCCAAATACGGGATGGCAGCATCGCAGGTGGTGACTTAACCTGCTACACCACAATGCTGGTCCCCGTCATATCTGATTTTAACTGTTGCTTATGATTGTTCTCATGGTTTCTAGAAGAGAAGATAAAAATAATTTCCTAACCCAACACTGAGAGATAACCATCTTCATAAACTTTATGTCAGAATTCATAAATGTGTGTTTTTCTTTAAAATATGAGGTGATCATACTTCATATACAGTTTGGGAACTTTTGAAAGAATTGAACATGAGCCTGCCTTGTGCCACAGCAGGCGGGGCTGGAGCCTGCAACACCAGCATCCCGTATGAGCACCAGTTGGAGTCCTGGCTGCTCTACTTCCAGTCTAGCTCTCTGCTGATGCAGCTGGGAAAACAGTAAAAGATGGCCCAAGTGCCTGGGTCCCTGCACCCGCGTGGCAGACCTGGATGGAGTTCCTGGCTCCTGGCTTTGGCCTGGCCCAGCCCCAGCCCCAGTCAGTGTGACCATTTGGAGAGTGAGCCAGCATATAGAAAATCTCTTTTTCTCTGTCTCTCATTCCTCTGTTAGCCTGCCTTTTAAATAAATAAATTAAATCTTCAAAAAAAAAAAAAAGAGAATTAAATATATATGTGTGTCTGTGTAGATATATAATCACTTATTTGCTTATTTATCCTCTCAGCAAATAATTGAGAACATCTGAGGTACAGGAACTCCCTGTAGAGCCATGAACAAAGCAGGGTATACGTTGTGGGGTGAGGAAAAGAGCTGTTAGCAGCTCGTTATATTTGACTGCTTAGTTACTCCCGGGGCACCTGCTCTGAAGTGTAGGGAAGCGGGCAGTAGGCCCCGCGTCTGGGGACGGGGGGCAGCGGTGCTGAAGCATCGCACTGGTGAGCTGCATAGCAGTCCGTTGGGTGGATGTAGTTACTCCTTTCAGCCAATCTCTTGTTGCTGGCATTTGATTTCCTGCAGTTGATTTTTCTCCTAAGATCTCTCACCAGTGAAAATGAATGAAAAGAACTCATTTCTCTCATGGGAGAAATAGTAGGCTGCATTTGTTTCCATTTTATTTATTTACTTGCTTATTTGAGAGTCAAGACCCACACACACACACACACACACACACACACAGCTCCTATCCACTGGTTTAATTCCCAAAGCCCACAGTGACCCCTGGGTGGGGCCAAAGCTGAGAGCCAGGAACTCAGTCCAAGTCTCCCCATGTGGGTGGAGGAAATTCAATTACTCGATCCATCACTGCCACCTCCCAGAGTCTGCGTTGGCAGGAAGCTGGAATCAAAAGCTGGAACTGAATGTTGAACCCAGGTACTAGGATATAAGATACAGACATCTTTTTACATCTTTTTTCATTAATTTATTTTTAAGGAATACAAATTTTGTATGTGGAACTTTAGGAATATAGTTATTCTTCCCACCATACCCGCCCTCCCACTCCCACTCCCACCCTTCCTCTTCCTCCTTCTCCTCTTTCTTTCTTTTTATTTTAATAATTTGTTTAAACTTTTATTTAATGAATATAAATTTCCAAAGTACAGCTTATGGATTACAGTGGCTTCCCCCTCCATAACTTCCCTCCCACCCACAACCCTCCCTTTCCCACTCCCTCTCCCCTTCGATTCACATCAAGATTCATTTTCAATTCTCTTTATATACAGAAGATCAGTTTAGCATATATTAAGTAAAGATTTCAACAGTTTGCACCCACATAGAAACACAAAGTGAAAAATACTGTTTGAGTACTAGTTATATCATTAAATCACAATGTACAGCATATTAAGGACAAAGATCCTACATGAGGAGTAAGTGCACAGTGACTCCTGTTGTTGACTTAACAAATTGACACTCTTGTTTATGGCATCAGTAATCTCCCTAGGCTCTAGTCATGAGTTGCCAAGGCTATGGAAGCCTTTTGAGTTCACCGACTCTGATCATATTTAGACAAGGTCGTAGTCAGAGTGGAAGTTCTCTCCTCCCTTCAGAGAAAGGTACCTCCTTCTTTGATGACCTGTTCTTTCCACTGGGCCAATCCCATTCTCCATTAAGATTCATTTTCAGTTAACTTTGTACACATAAGACCAACTTTATACTAAGTAAAGATTTCAATAATTTGAATGCATACACACACACAAAACTGTTTCAGAACTAGTTTCACAGTTAACTCTCATAATGCAACTCATTGAGGACAGAGGTCCTGCATGGGGAGTTAGTGCACAGTGACTCCTGTTGTTAATTTAAGAATTAACACTTTTTTTTTTTTTGGACAGGCAGAGTTAGACAGTGAGAGAGACAGAGAGAAAGGTCTTCCTTTTCTGTTGATTCACCTGCTAAATGGCCGCTGCGCCGATCTGAAGCCAGGAGCCAGGTGTTTCTCCTGGTCTCCCATGTGGGTGCAGGGCCCAAGCACTTGGGCCATCCTCCACTGCCTTCCCGGGCCACAGCAGAGAGCTGGACTGGAAGAGGAGCAACTGGGACAGAATCCAGCGCCCCGACTGGGACTAGAACCCGGTGTGCTGGCGCCGCAGGCGGAGGATTAACTAAGTGAGCCGCGGCGCCGGCAAGGATTAACTCTCTTATGTATGATGTCAGTGACCACCAGAGGCTCTTGCCATGAGCCGCCTAGGCTATGGAAGCCTTTTGAATCCACAAACTCTGTCAGTATTTAGACAAGGTCATTAGCAAAGTAGAAATTCTCTCCTCCCTGTAGAGAAAAGTACCTCCTTCTTTGATGGCCACGCCTTTCCGTTGGGATCTCACTCGCAGAGATCTTCATGAGGAAGACTTTTTTGCCGCAGTGTCTTGGCTTTCCGTGCCAGTACAGACATCCCAGCCGCTAGGTCAGTGCCGGCCCGAGATGCTTCCTGTTGCACAGGAGAATCTGTGGTGTGACGTGGCCACAGTGCGGGTGCACAGCCGGGCAGAACTTGCAGCCCTGTAAGTTTAACACATTCATAAACCAGACAAACCACTGCTCACTGCCCACCTCGTTACGGGATTGACTGGGAGTGTGGTGGTGTTGCGTGGGCATTACTGCGCGGATCAGTGCTGTGTTTGCTCCGCCCTTCCGGTTTTCCTGGGAAGGAGCTGCCCTGTGAGTACTGCAACATGTGAGGATACTTCAGAAAGTTCACGAAAAAGATGGAATTCAGAAACAAGCCTATTCTGGTGTAAAACTTTTTGAAATCTGTGTAGGATTCTCATGAAAAAGTTGATGAGACATGTGTATTATAAAAAATTACTATGCATGGATTTCAAAACTTTTGCATCAAGATAAGCGTTTTTTAATTCATTTTTTCCCACAAACTCTTTGGAGTTCTTGCAGATGTACAGTCAGAGGTACCCAACTTGGTGAAAACATATTTATGTGCCTTTTTTCTCCTTTTAAGGTTGCCAACACTCCTGATAACTGAATGTGTGCTGGTTTACATGACTCCGGAGCAGTCTGCAAACCTTCTAAAGTGGGCAGCCAGAAGTTTTGACACAGCCATGTTCATAAACTATGAGCAGGTAAAAAGGCGCACGAGAGTTTGGGTTCTGGGTTAGACTCCAGCTCTGGCTTTCCCTGCGAGCATCCTCAGTGTGCGCTCCCTGCGCTGTTCCCTGCCTCCGGCCACTCCGGCTCCCCCTCATTAATTAATTCTCACAGTCCTGATAGTCCTGAGATCTTGACTTCCTGCAAACTCTGCGCCAGAGTCCTGGGAACTTCTGTCTTACCCTTTACAAAAGTCTGTCATGCTCCTATTTATCATTGCCTTTTCCGCAGAGTCATAGAAGACAATGGGAGGGGATTTTTGGCTGCCACCAGTGTAGTGGGAGCGCCTCGGATGCCTTCAGGGGCAGGCAGGGGGTGCGGGTGGAGGAAGTTGGCCAGGTGGGGGGGACTGGGGTGACCTGAGCGCTTTCTGCGAATGGTCACCACTCAGTTGCAGTCGGTTGCAGTGTGGGCGTGTGAACCTAGAGTTCCCTGAGCTCCCAGCTGTTTTTCAGTTTATGTATTTGAAAGGCAGAGAGACACAGAGGTCTTCCCTCTGCTGGTTCTCTCCCCACCTGCCTGCAACAGCTGAGAGGGGGCCCGGTACAAAGCCAGGGGCCCGGAACTCCATCTTGGTCTCCCAACAAGGACTTGAACCATCCTCTGCTGTCTGCCAGGGTGTACGTTGCTCCACTTTGTGTTCTTTTGTTCAGCATCACCTGAGAGGTGATGGATTAAGTGACCTTTGACCAGGCCTCGGTCACTTTGGAGTAAGCTTGGAATGTGCCAGTTTTTTTTTTCTTTTCTTTTTTAAAGATTTACTTTTTTGAAAGGTAGGGTTACAGAGAGAGGTAGAGAAGAGAGGTAGAGAGAGAGGGAGAGAGAGAGGTCTTCCATCTGCTGGTTCACTCCCCAGATGGCCACAATGGCCAGAGCTGCACTGATCCAAAGCCAGGAGCCAGGAGCTTCTTCCGGGTGTCCCGTGTGGGTTTAAGGACTCAAGGACATGGGCCATCTTCCACTGCTTTCCCAGGCCATAGCAGAGAGCTGGATTGGAAGAGGAGTAGCCAGGACTAGAACTGGCATCCCAGGGCTTTAACCCACTGCACCACAGCGCCGGCCCCAGTATGCACCAGTTTTCGATGCATTGTCCATAGCAGTCCTGAAACTGACCCAGCTCCCACCTGCCATGCTCACTGTTGAATAAGAAGCATTTAACTTAAAATCAGTTTTTTTTTTTTTTTAACAAAGTCATTAACATCCTCACAGCATGCCCACAGTGCCCTGCATTATGTTCTTCTTCTTCTTTTTTTTTTTTTTTAATTTTATGTATTTGAAAGGCAGAGAGTTACAGAGAGGCAGAGGCAGAGAGAGAGAGAGAATGAATGAATGAATGAATGAATGCTTTCATCCAGGGATTCACTCCCCAAGTGGCTGCAATGGCCGGAGCTGGGCCAATCTGGAGCCAGGAGTTTTCTCTGGTCTCCCATGCAAGTGCAGGAGCCAAAGGACTTGAGCCATCTTCTGCTGCTTTCCTGGTGCCTAGCAGAGAGCTGGATCAGAAGAGGAGCAGCTGGGACTTGAACTGGTGCTCATGTAGGATGCCAGCACTGCAAGTGGCAGCTTTACCTGCTATGCCACAGCGCGGTCCCCACCCTGCATTATATTCTAATTAGTAATTTTAAATGACACAGCTACATGGCATATGGGCATTTCTATCATGATAAGGAAGTAATGAGAATAGATCCTTCAGCTTGCTTACAGTGTACCAAGCACTGTCTATGAGCTTTAAATGCATATGTTTAAATATATATATTTATTTATTTATAATATTTATTTATGTGAAAGATTTAGAAGAAGAGAAAGAGAGAGAGAGATCTTCCATCCACTGGCTCACTCTGCAGATGGCCACAATGGCCAGGGCTGTGCCAGGCTGCAGCCAGGAGCTTCATCTGGGTTTCCCATGTGGGTGGCAGGGACCCAAGCACTTGGACTATTCTCTGCTGCTTCTCCCAGGCCATTAAGCAGTGAGCCGGATTGGAAGCAGAGCAGCCAGGACATGAACTAGCACTGACATGGCATGCCAGCATTACAGGTAGTGGCTTTACCTGCTGTGTCACACACGACACCAGCTCCTAGTTTTACATATATGAACCTGCTTTCAGTTATCACAGCAGTCCACAAGGTCCTGTCCTGACTTGACTTGTGAAGGGACTGGGGTACACAGACAGTGGAGCACTTGTCACGGCTGCTATGACACTATAGACTGTCAAGCCAGGGTTCAGACCCAGGAAGTCAGACAGTAGAGGGTGTGTTCCAGCCCCTTCTGCCCCGAATCCTTGTTGTGCAGTGCCACCCAAGCCTTACTCTGCCCTGACACAGCATAATTCTGGTTCCTGTCTGGCAGTGTTCTCATAGGACCCTGGAAATCATCCTGGGTACAGTGACGAGTTTTTGATACCATGATTACAACAAAGTCCTCGTGTCTGTACAGTCGTGTACACTGATACTGTGTTTTTTGGCATTTGTGCGTATGTATAAATTAACTGGTTTTTTTAAACTAGTTTTTTTATTCAGAAAATAATGGCATACATGGAATATGAAACTCAAACAGTATGAAAGGGTAGACAAGGAAAAGTGAGCCTTTCTCCTACCCTAGACCTCAGGTCCCTAATGTGGGAAGCAGCATTTCTAGCCCACAGTTTTTCTGTGCACATCTAAAGCAAGAGAGAGGTTTTTGGTTTGGCTTTGTTTTTTCCTTACAGGCAGATGAGAGCTTGTGATCCATCTTCCTCTGTACCTTGCTTCTGTAGAGTGTACCTCAGGGCCATTCCATGTCTATGTCTGTCCTCCTCTCCTGTTTTCATGGCTATATAGTATTCCATTATGTGCCCATGCAATAGCGTGTTTAACCTTAAATGGTCCGCACTAACTTTACGCACGGCTGTAGTCAACAGTCTTGCATCTGTGCCTACACGACGAGTGTTTCTGCAGGGTCCCCCACTGTCCGTGCAGCATTTGCAGTGCGAGAGTCCTGCCCAGGGGTCCTTCCAGGACCTGCACCCCTTCACGCTGCCAGCAGCGCTGTGTGCTTGTGCCTGCTGCTGTTCCTTCCCTTGCAGCCAGCGTGTGTGAGCAAACAGCAGCCTGACTGCTGAGACACAGAATCCTGTCTCCTTAGTGTACACACCTAAGAAACAAAGAAACCCCGGTGGTGGTGGCCGCCGTGGTGCTGCCCAGCCTCCGCTTTCCCTTCCCAGGTGAACATGGGCGATCGGTTCGGGCAGATCATGATTGAAAACCTGAGGAGACGACAGTGTGACCTGGCGGGCGTGGAAACCTGCAAGTCATTGGAGTCGCAGGTCAGAGGGCAGAGCCCGAGACGTGCCCACCCTGTGCCCCAGCCAACCAAGAAAAGGCGGATTCTCCCCTGCGGCTAAGATAACATGGGGGGCGCTGGTGGGCAGCCGGGGCGTCATGCGGGCCACTTGGGGGCTCACAGCACCAGGACAGTCCCTGCTGCGCCATCTTGGTGTGGAAAAATAGCAGTGTACGTTTCCTGCTCCCTGGCTGTTTAGCGTTGTGCTGTGCATGTTTTCAGATGAACATGAAGGCAGAAGGAACCGTAAAGCTGACCCCCGTGGCCCATGAGCCAGCGTTTTATTGGCGCTGTCTCTCGCGTCCCCGCTGCGGGGTTTTCTGGTTGGTGTTGGGTGTTCTCGGGCAGACCCCAGACGGTGCGTGACTTCACCCCTGAGCATCCCATTGCGAGTCTCCTGCCCTCCAGGACCTCCTTCCCCAGGGCCAAGGACAGTACCACCCACACATCTCACGGCCACGCGGAACCCCCTCCTGCCATCTGCTGCTCGGGCTGGGCTGCGTTTTCCCGAGTTGTTTAAAACACGTTTCTGTGGTTAGTGTGTGTGAGCCCGCCCTGTGCACTGATTGACATGCCCTGGACACCTGTGCGACTCGCTCACGGCCTGGCAGAAGCGGCCTGTGTTTGCTGCGGGCACATCCTGCGGCCTCCCTACATTTCAGTAGCTGGGTTTGTACGCGGCGCCCTCGGCCAAGGGAAACTCGCTCCAGGGAGTTCCCCTGCGGTAACCACAAGCATGTTCATGGCAGGACTCTGGCGAGCAAACAGAACAGAGACCACAGGAGCGGGGAGGGGCTTCAGAGGAATTCCCACAGGCAAGAGGGTCTGGGGTGTGCACCAGGTACCCTGTGGCTTTCTCCCCTTCCTGTCTCAGAAAGAGCGGCTCCTGGCCAGTGGGTGGGAGACGGCATCAGCTGTGGACATGATGGAACTGTACAGCAGATTACCACGAGCTGAAGTGAGCAGGTAAGGGGGTGGCGGGGTGGGGGCCTTGCCTGTGAGTGAGGCACGGCCATGCTTGTTCTTTCATGGGCCAGAACCCAGCCCAGCCCTAGCCAGACTTGTCTAGAAAGAAGTCAGACGTCGTCAGCAACTCGAGGGTAACTCATTAGCTAGGAGTTTAGATAGGGTTTATGCCAGAGCAGACTGTTGCAGTCAAAGGAAGCGCTCCCGCCTGGAGAGCTCCCAGGGCACCGTCTGCAGCAGGACGTTTTGCATAATCCCTGTGTTGGAGAGGGAGGAAAGTCATCACTCGAGAATTTTATTTTAAAGATTTATTTATTTATTTGGAAGTTAGAGTTACACAGAGAGAGAAGGAGAGGCAGAGAAAGAGAGAGAGAGAGGTCTTCTATCCATTGGTTCATGCCCCAATTGGCCGCAACAGCCAGAGCTGCGCCGATCCAAAGCCAGGAGCTTCTTCCAGGTCTCCCACACGGGTGTAATCTTCTACTGCTTTCCCAGGCCATAGCAGAGAGCTGGATTGGAAATGGAGCAACCAGGACTCGAACCAGTGCCCATATAGGATGCTGGCACCGCAGGCAGCAGCTTTATCCGCTACACCACAGCACTGGCCCCCACTCGAGAATTTTTAAGAGAAAAACAGTCTCCTGGCAGATTTTAAATAGACTTTTCACCTCATTATGGAAGAAAAATATTTTATCTTAAGTTTTTTTAAGCAATATAAAGTACATGAAGTATGACATCATGTCCACTTGTCACACTCTCTAAAGACAGCTGCTAACATACTGGATGTACTCTTTTCCAATGCATATATTCAAATATTCAAATAAATATACTCATAGATTCCTGTATTTCTGTTTTTTGGATCAGTGGATTCATACCACACACATGGGTCTGTAAGCCCCCTCTTATTTTTATTTTTTGAAGATTTGTTTATTTGAAAGGTAGAGTGACAGAGATATTCATCTGCTGGTTCACTGCCCAAATGGCCACAATGGCCAGAGCTGGGCCAAGCTGAACTCAAGAGCTAGGGGCTCCATCTGGGTCCCCCACATAGGTGGCAGGGACCCAAGTACCTGAGCCGTCTTGTGCTGCCTCCCAGGCACACCAGTAGGAAGCTGGGTCGGAACCAGAGAGTAGCTGGGACTCACACCAGGCATTCTGATATGACTTGCAGGTGCCCTGGGCAGCGGCTTAACCTTCTGTGCCACAGTACCTGTCCCACCCTCCTATTTAAACTTACCAACGAATTGTCTTTATCTTTACATACAAAATATTGAGTGCTACCACATCTCATTTTAGGGCACATATTATATACGTGTTTTAGATTTGTATTGACATATGGATGTAGTATATTGATAATAATTTTGAAGTAATTAAGAATGTCTGGGGGCCAACGCTGTGGCGCAGCGGGTTAATGCCCTGGCCTGAAGCACTGGTATCCCATATGGGTGCCGGTTCTAGTCCCAGCTGCTCCACTTCCGATCCAGCTCTCTGCTATGGCCTGGGAAAGCAATAGAAGATGGCCCATGTCCTTGGGCCCCTGTACCCACGTGGGAGACCCAGAAGAGGTCCCTGGCTTCGGATTGGCGCAGCTCCGGCCATTGCGGCCATCTGGGGAGTAAACCAGCAGATGGAAGACCTCTCTCTCTCTCTGTCTCTACCTCTCTGTGTAACTCTTTCAAATAAATAAAAATAAATCATTAAAAAAAAAAAAACATCAGAATGTCTGAAGCTAGGCATTAACTGTGATATGCTGTCTATTTTGCTGTGCTCTGCTTTCCCTGTGACAAACACTAGAGGGAACATCACCCTACACCCACATGGGTGCACAGTGTTGGTTCCACCTGAAGTCTTTTTATACACTTGTGCCTTCCTGATCTGTGCTTTCCTCTTGCTTGGTTTCTTATAAGACAATGCAAGCACTTCTGCCTTGCTGCTCCATAGAAGTTAGAAGTGAGTGCACCCACACTTGGCTCCAGAGTGCTGGACAGTTGGAGCGGGTGCTGTGTCCGTGTGGTCAGGAGTCTGCTTCCTGGGTTCTTCCGGCAGCAGCCTTTCCCCCAGGCTGGTTTTCCTTTGCTTACAGGTCAGGACAGCTGCATGAACATCTCTGGCCTGACGTCCGTGTTGGGGACGCTCTGGCAGCTCTGCTGGGTACCCAGAGCATCACACACAAGGAAGGCCATTTGCAATCACATGTCTCACGTTGCCCTACCTGGCCTTTTGTAGACAGCCACTGTAGCCTTACCAGGGGCCGTGATGAGAGGCAGTGGATGTTGGTCTGTCTGTCCCAGCTCCTTGAATGCCACATCTGTATTTGCTGGCTACGGTAGAGGAGTAACAGAAGTCTGAGATGGGCCTTTTCATGTAACAAACGCCGAGTGCCCGCTGTGTATATGGCAGGAGCTTTTCCAAACGCAGGGGCTGTGCTCAGTGTTCAGAACTGCTCCAAAGATGTGCCTGCCCCAGGAACTCATATCCTAGCTTCCAGTGTGCACATTTTGGTAGAAAGTTTTTCAGAAAGCTCTCTCTGTATATTTCTGTGCATGTTTCTCTCTGTGTGTATATGTTTAAAAGTTTATACTTACAGTGCTTATTTTGGAAAAGTCATACATTCACATAATTTTTTAAAACAATCAGAACAATGGGACCAGTGTTGTGGCATAGCTAGTTAAGCTACTGCCTGTGATGCTGTCATCTCAAATGGGCACCAGTTCTAGTCCTGGCTGCTCCATTTCCAATCCAGCTCTTTGCTAATGGCCTGGGAAAGCAGGGGAAGATGACTCAAGTGCCTGGGCCCCTGCAGCCACATGGGACACCCAAATGAAGCTCCTGGGTCCTGGTTTCCATTGGCTCAGCCCTGGCTGTTGTAGCCATTTGGATAGTGGACCAGTGGAGGGAAGCTCTCTCCCTCTGTCTTTCCCTCTCACTCTCTAACTCTGCTTTTCCAATAAATAAAAGTAAATCCTTAAAAAATCAGAATAAAGCAATAAAGAATAAAAATGAAAGCCCTCACCACAACCCACCCTTACTCCCAGTCTCCTGCGTTCTCTCTCAAGAGGCAAACACATTTCTAGTTTCTTCTGTATTTCCTTTAAAAGTTTACATTTATTTATTTTCATTTTATTTGAAAGGCAGAGAGAGGGAAACAGAGATCTTCCACCTGCTGCTTTGCTCCCTAAATGCCTACAACAGCCAGGGCTGGAACAGGCCAAAACTGAGCCAAGAACTCAAACCTGAGTTTGTGACATGAGTGGCAGCACCCAAGTCCTTGATCCATCACCTGCTGCCTTGCAGGGTGCACATTAGCAAGAAGCTAGAATCAGAAGTCAAGCCAAGATTTGAATCCGGACACTCCTGTATGGGACACCCAAGTGTCTTAACCCAATGCCTGCCCCGCTTTGTGTGTGTTTTTTGTTTTTTTTTTTTTTTTTTGACAGGCAGAGTGGACAGTGAGAGAGACAGACAGAGAGAGAGGTCTTCCTTTGCTGTTGGTTCACCCTCCAATGGCCGCCGCGGCCGGCGCGCTGCGGCCGGCGCACCGCGCTGATCTGATGGCAGGAGCCAGGAGCCAGGTGCTTCTCCTGGTCTCCCATGGGGTGCAGGGCCCAAGCACTTGGGCCATCCTCCACTGCACTCCCTGGCCACAGCAGAGAGCTGGCCTGGAAGAGGGGCAACCGGGACAGAATCCGGCGCCCCAACCGGGACTAGAACCCGGTGTGCTGGCGCCGCTAGGTGGAGGATTAGCCTAGTGAGCCGCGGCGCCGGCCCCGCTTTGTGTTTTCAAAAAGCAGCCTGTGCATGTAGAAGCCTGTGTGTCCCCTGCTGTTTCTTTACATAGATAGTGGTCCATGCTGCCGACCTTCCTTCCTAAGCAACTTGCCTTTAAATTCTATGGTATACTTTGGAGGTTGTTCCATTCTTGCACGTGGAGACCTCGCCCCCATTTTAAAAATGGCTTCATAGTATCCTATCGTGCTTCAATTTATTGAGCCCATCTCTTCGTGATTATAGTGTGACTCTTGTTGCTGCCTTGGAGCTACGATGCTGCACTGAATGCTCCTGAAATTGCATCTTTGTGTGCACACAGGCTGAATGAATGAATGAATTTTTATTTGAAAGGCAGAGAGACAGAAACAGATCTTCTGTACTCTGGTTCTCGCCCTCAAATACCTGCAGCAGCTGACACTGGGCCAGGCTGAAGCCAGGAGCCCGGAACTTAATCTAGGTCTCCTGCGTGTGTGGTGGAGACTCAGCTACTTGAGCCAACACCTGCTGGCTGCCAGGGTGCCCAGTAGCAGGAAGCTGGAATCGGAAGTGGAGCCAGGACTGGAAGTTTGGCACTCTGCTATGGGATGTGGGAATCCCAGACCATAACTGCTGTACCAAACACCTTTCCCCAGGGTAAATTCTTCTTTTTTTTATTTTTCTATTTTTTTTTTTTTTTAATTTTTTGACAGGCAGAGTTAGTGAGAGAGAGAGAGAGAGAGAGAAAGGTCTTCCTTTTTCCGTTGGTTCACCCCCCATGTGGCCGCTACAGCTGCCGATCTGAAGCCAGGAGCCAGGTGCTTCTCCTGGTCTCCCATGGGGTGCAGGGCCCAAGCACTTGGGCCATCCTCCACTGCACTCCCAGGCCACAGCAGAGAGCTGGCCTGCAAGAGGAGCAACCGGGACAGAATCCCGCACCCCAACTGGGACTAGAACCCGGGGTGCCGGCACCGCAGGCGGAAGATTAGCCTATTGAGCTGCGGCGCTGGCCTCCCCAGGGTAAATTCTTAAAAGAATTGCAGGGTCAGAGGCTATAGACTTTCAGCATTGGTTGAGATAATCAAATTGCCATCTAGAGAGGTTTTACTGCTTTATAATCCCAGGAATTCTGGGAGCACCTATCCTCCCTGCCCTTGCTAAAGTACATGTCAGCTTTTTTGACCCTTGTGAACCTGATGGTTGAAAAGGTACCTTGGGGTCAGTAGTTGTGGCACAGTGGGTTAAGCCATTGCCTGCGATGCTGGCATCCCATATGAGTGCCAGTTCAAGTCCCAGCTGTTCCACTTCCAATCCAGCTCCTTGCTAACGTGCCTGAGAAAGCAGAGGAAGATGGCTCAAGTACTTGGGCTGGGCCCCTGTGGAAGATGCATATGGAGTTCCTAGCACCTGGCTTCGTCCTGGCCCAGCCCTGGCTGTTGCTGCCATGGGGGAAGTGAACCAGTAGATGGACGATCTCTGTCTCTCCCTGGCTGTCTCTGTCACTCTGCCTTCCAAATAAATGAAATAAAACTTGAAAAAGAAGTTGGAAAAGAATTTTAGGTTTAGATTTTTCTCCTCACCACACATACTGTTTAGCCTCCTCCTTCGCGTGACACGCCGTGAGCGTCCTGCCGTGCGGCTAACCCTGGGTCAGCATCTTCATTTGCACTGAGACATGTCTAATGCACGTTTCTGTTTGCCTCTCTCCCCAGGATAGAGGCCCTGGAGTTCCTGGATGAGATGGAGCTTCTCGAGCAGCTCATGCAGCATTACTGCCTGTGCTGGGCCACTAAGGGCGGAGGTGAACTGGGTGCGTGACTGCGGCTGTGGCTTCCACCGAGAACTGGGCACTTCTCTGCTTCGAGGAGTGAAAGGTGTCCCCAGGCTCTAGGCCCAGGTTGAGGATTATGCTTGTGTGTCCATGGTGTGCGCAGACAATGCGCCGTTCCATCTTGTGTGTTTGCATAGCACAGAAACCAAGAGAACTGTTTAAATTAGCCCCGCGTCCCCAAGCAACCCACCCTTGCGAGACTGGCTATGGGATTTCCGCATTAGGAAAGTAAAAGACCTTGAGGGCTTAAGGAATAATCTTCATAGAAGTAGCGAGTGGTGTCGTTTTCATTGGGTTTACTAGATGTTAAACACAGTGATGGTTACCTTTGGCTAACCACCCCGGGCGGCAGAGTAGGGCCACGGGATCCATGTCTCTTATCTCCTGTTACCTTGGACTTGATCCAGCTCCTCCTTGGTCTGGCTTCACCTGGTGGTTACCCCTTGGGTGGCTGCCGATCAAGCCTCCTACAGAAGTGAGCTGTGTTACCCTCAAACAAGCCACTGATGCAAAACAAAGACCAAGACAGGGCGGGACTGTCCCTGTGTGAAAATTCCAGGCTGGGCTTATTGTTTGGTTCATTTGTAGATTTGCCCAGCTGTGCAGTTCAGCCCACAGAACCCTTTCAAATGTGTTTCTGACTTACAGCCACTTACTGGTGGGTTTTATGTTGTATTCCCCCCACCCCGCATAAAAACAATGACATTTTTAGTAAATTTATTTGCACACAAAATTTTTGAAATCCATGCGGTTTTTTTCTTGATCCACATTTCCATGAACTTTTTGAAGACCTACTCATATACATAGATTTCAAGAATTTTTGCACCAAAATCAACTTACCTTTTATTGCCATTTTTAAAAAAGATTTAATTTATTTAAGAGAGAGAGAGCGCTTCAGTCTGCTGGTTCACTCCCCTAGATGGCTGCTGCAGAGTTCAGCATTGGGCCAGGCCAAAGTCAGGAGCCAGGAGTTTCATCCGGGTGTCCCATGTGCAGGACCCCTAGCACTTGGGCCGTCTTCCACTGCTTTCCCAGGCCATTAGGGAGCTGGATTGGAAGTGGACTCGAACCAGCGTTAATACAAGGTGCCATTGTCGCAGGCAGCGGCTTTACTTCTGTGCCAGCACACCAGCCCCCCCTTTTATTGCCATTTTCTGTGAGCTTGTGGCAGTGCCTTTGTACGTGCATGGTGAAGAACCATGTCTGTGTTTGCTCAAAGTTCAGCACTCAGAGGCTCCCTTTTTATGTCAACTGCAGGGAGTCCATAAATTCTTGCAGTGCTTTCTTAATCTCTTTAAAACCATCTATAAACAGACTCTCGCCCAACCTCTAGTTTGTGAGATCTGGTCTTACGCAGCGGGAGAGCAGAGCTGCAGAGAGTAGCAGGTTGGCCTTCTTTGGGTCTCTCTCTCTCCCACGAAAGACTGATGGGAGTCTGTGTGTTTCCTGCCCGCAGGTCTGAAGGAGGTAACTTACTGATCACTGAAGCTGGCACCACCCGCCTTTCTGGAGGAGATCCCGCCAAGCAGTGGGGAGGCCGCAGCCACCAGTCAACTGGTTACGAAGTTGTCTTTCCTTTTCCTGTTCCTTCTGACTTGTTTAAATAAATCCCACTTGCCAATTGTCTGTGCTTCCGGCCTCTACTGGTCATCAGATGCCACCCTGCCTTCCACGGGGTGAGCCAAGGTTCACGTCCGTGGCAGCTAAAACCAAGTGTGCGAATCCTGCTCTGACCGGGAGTTCCTCCCTGTGAGTCAGCTCACGACCTTGAGTCCATTTGGGGATTTACCCCCTTCCCCCCCCTCACCCCCCGCCCTGCCATGCGCTCTTTATGATGGCACCTCACGTGGTACCTAGCACCTTGACCCTCCACCTGCACCGGAACTGGAGTGCTCTTCTGGCACTGTGTTCTGCCCTCGCCAGATTGGGCCCACTTAATTGCATCCTTCGCCGTGGTGAGTGCAGTGAGCTGAGTAATCGTCCTGAAACGTCCGCGTCCTGATCCACCCAGCCTGTGCGTGTGTTCCCTTCTAAGGCGAGGGGTTCTGCAGGTGTGGTGCAGTTAGGGGTCTTGACAGAGTGTGTTTAAGGGGGTGGTATCTGGGCAGGCTTGATGTCATCTCAGGGGTCCTTTCTGGAGGGCAGGGGAAAAGGCAGAGGAGAAGGTGTTTCGATGACAAAAGCAGAGCTTGTGGGGGCCTTGAAGGTGGCAGAAGGGGCAGAAAGACAAGGCGTGGAGCAGCCGTGAGGAGCTGAGAAGGGCAGGAAAAGAGATTCTCTCCTCTTAGAGCCTCCAGAAGGAGCCGCTCCTGCCCACCGTGACTTGAGCCCGCTGAAGCCGACACCTCCATGGCTGTAAGTGGGTAATTGCTGGAGTTTAAGCCACTTAGCATGTGCAGATTTGTTACAGCAGCAGCAGGAAACTCATGCAGTTTAATAGAGCCCCATAGCGTGAAAACCGCACAGTTTAGATGAACTTGAGTGAACTTTTTGATTGTGTGCCTGAAGCATGAACCTGAACTTGTCAGAGAAGGGAGGTGGTGAGCAAGCCCCCCTGGTGCTCTCCCCTCCCCTTCCACCAGGTAGAATCCTTAGGTCAGTGTCCCTGGAGCGTGGGCTGGGCGTCACCCCTGGCCTGCCTGTTGACAGTGGCTGGTACACCAGCAACAGCCTGAAAGAAAGTGGATCACCGAGTGAGAAGCCTCCTCCTGTTGGGTTACATTTCACATCTCGGTTCTGGACGATCTCAGGCTGATCGTGGTGTATCATCAATGCTTCCTCCACACTCACTAAGCCAGTGGTGTTGCAACCACAGAACCGAGCCATCCGTGGGCGGTGAGTCAATTTAGTGGATCACGTCCATTGTTTAAAAAAATCTGTGGCACTGTAGGATAGATTACCTAGTAGGTAGTATTTTTGGAAGCTTTTCATTTGCATGTGTGCACTGCATTAGCAAGAACAGTGGTTTTTGTTTTGTACTTCACTAAACGAGGGGGCAGCAGCAGTGAGCTTAAGTTCCAAACGCTTCGCTCAATTATATCTTCTTTCGCCCTTGTATTTGTTTCTGTGGGTTTTGTGGAGTGCATCTGTTGAAGGCAAATGATACTCCGTCACCACCGATGTCTGTGTTACAAAGCATCTCTCAAGGTACCATCAGTGGGCACTGTCCGCTTAAAAGGCAGAATGACATAGAGGCATAAACAAAGATTTTCCATCCACTGCTTTACTCTCCAAATGGCTGCAATGACCAGTGCTGGGCTAGGCCAAAGCCAGGAGCCTGGCGCTCCATCTAGGTCTCCCAAGTGAGTGGCAGAGGCCCAACTGCTTGGGCCATCTTCCACAGCTTTCTCAGGTGCATTAGCAGGGAGCTGGACTGGGAACAGAGCAGCCAGGGCTTGGACAGAAGCTCTGATACGGGATGCCCACGTCATAGGTGACCGCTGGATCTGCTGTGCCACAATGCGAGCCCCCATCTACTTCATTTTTAAGGAGTCTGTTTAAAGACAATGACTAGGAAAACACAGGCAGCACAGGGTGTTGGGAGCATCAGAGAGCAGTTGAGGACTGCTCATGTCAGCGCTGGGGCTTTGGGGCCGGAGGGACCTGCCAGCAGTTAGCTTTGTGCCTCTTTGCCATACCTCACACGACTGGGACGTGCATTCCAAGGTGTGTGTGTGGCTTCTCAGCTTGGATCTTGAAGCTCATCTTACTTAGGAGTTATTGACACCCCCTGGCTCCTTTGTTTAACCCCCACTCATCTAAAACCCCTAAAACACTGCTTAACTGGACACACTCTTGGGAAGATCACCGGTGTCGCAGCTGTCACCTCCCATGACTCCTTGGGCTCTGGCGGCCTTAGCCTCTCTGTTATAGAGTTGTTTTGGTTCATTAGGATAAATCTCACTTGCTGAGGGTCTGTGTGTCAGAGCTCTGCTGGTCGTCCCACATTACTCTGTCCTCTGGGGGTGGACCAGGGTTCACATCTGTTGCTGGCAGTTTTTTGGTGGAATCCATGATCATGCTATTTGGAACAGATCATTTTACCTCTTTATTTCTAATTTAGGTGTCTTTTCTTGCCTAATTGCTGTGTCTAGAACTTCCAGTACTGTGTTGAATAAAAGTGATCATAGTGGGCATCTTTATCGTGTTCCTGGTCTAAGACAAGCCTTCGTCTTTCACCAGGGAGTATGACGTTAGTTGTCAGTTTTTGTTTTATAGCCTTCATTAGATTGACATGGTTTCCTTCTATTATATTTTTTAAAGATTTAAAAAAATTCCTTCTTTATAAATATAATAAATATATAAATTATAAATAATATATTATTATATATATCTTTAAAGATTTATCTATTTATTTGAAAGAGAGAGAGAGAGATTGAATCTTCCATGCTTTGTTTCATCAGAGGGCCTAGGACTGGGCCAGGTCGGAGCCAGGAGCTTCTGCTGGGTCTCCTGCACTGGTACAGGTGGCGTGGGTGGGCCATCCTCTGCTGCCTTCCCAGGCGCATCAGCAGGGAGCTGGGTCGGAAGTAGAGCAGCTGGAACTTGAACAGGCGCCCATCTGGGACACTGGAGTTGCTGGTGGCAGCTTTACAATCCTGCTACAGTGCAGTGTTTTTATCATAGATTTGTTAGATGACTTTTCAATTGAGATGATTATGTGATCTTTTCTTTTGCTTAATGTATTACACTGATTTTTATTTTTTTGTATATTGAGCCATTCCAGCAATAATTCTACTTGGTCATGATCTATTTCAGTTTGCTAGTATCTTTTAAAGTTGATAATTTAAAGGAGACCTCATTTTTCAATGAATTTTATTTTTATTTTTTAAAAGATTATTTATTTATTTGAAAGTCAGAGTTACACAGAGAGAGAAGGAGAGACAGAGAGAGAGAGAGGTCAGTCTTTCATCCACTGGTTCACTCTCCAATTGGCTGCAACTGCCAGAGCTGTGCCAATCCGAACCCAGGAGCTTCTTACAACTCCCACGTGGGTTCAAGGGCACAAGGACTTGGGCCATTTTCTACTGCTTTCCCAGGCCACAACAGAAAGCTGGATTGGAAGTGGAACAGCCGGGTTTCGAACTGGCGCCCATATGGGATGCAAGCACTGCAGGCGGTGGCTTTACCTGCTACGCCACAGCGCTGGCTCCTCAATGCGTTTTAAAATTTTAAGTTGGCATGTAGTAGTTATACACATTAATGGGGTGCACTATGTCATTGTAAGATTTGTGTGCAATGTATAATGACAAGGTCAAGGTAACTGGCATATCTATTACCCTGACCTTTGTCATTTCTTTCTGTTGGGAACATTTCATTACTTACTGTTTCCCTCCTTTTACTTCTTTTGGTTTTAGTTTTTTGTTTTTGGTTTTTTTTTTTTTTTTTTTTTTTTTTTTTAGTTCTGTAAGGCGTCAAGCTGGGCTGTTAGTTATTAATCTTCTTTAAAATGAAAGCATTTAGGGGCCGTTGCTGTGGTGCAGCAGGTTAACGCCCTGGCCTAAAGCACCGGCATCCCATATGGGTGCCGGTTCAAGACCCAGCTGCTCCACTTCTGATCCAGCTCTCTGCTGTGGCCTGGGAAAGCAGTAGAAAATGGCCCAAGTCCTTGGGCCCCTGCACCCGCATGGGAGACCTAGAAGAAGCTCCTGGCTCCTGGCTTCAGATTGGCATAGCTCCGGCCGTTGCAGCCAATTAGGGAGTGAACCATTGGATGGAAGACCTCTCTCTCTCTCTGCCTCTCCTCTCACTGTGTAACTCTGACTTTCAAATAAATAAACAAATCTTTAATAAATAAATAAAATGAAAGCATTTAAATCTCTTAGTTTCCCTCTTGCCGCATCCCATAGCTTTGGTGTATTGTGTTTTTGTTTTTTTAAGATTTATTTATTTGAAAGGCAGAGTTACAGAGAGAGAGGGAGAGGGAGAGAGCAAGGTCTTCCATCTGCTGGTTCACTCCCCAAATGATCATAACAGCTAGGGCTGGGCCAGGATGAAGCCAGGAGACAGGAGCTCCAACAGGCCTCCTACGTAGGTGCAGGGGCCCAAGGACTTGGGTCATCTGCCACTGCTTTCCCAGGTGCATTAGCTGGGAGCAGGGTCTGAAGTGGAGTACCCAGATGGGATCCCAGTGTTGCAGGCAGTGGCTTAACCCACTGCGCTGCAATGCCAACCCTGATGTGTTGTGTTTCATACTCGTTTGTCTCAACGTAATTTCTCATTTCCCAATGACTTCTCCTTTGGCCCCCTGATTAAGAATGTGTTGTGTAATTTGCACTTATTGGTGGACTTTTCCAGTTTTAGTTCTGCTCTTGGTTTAGTTTCATTATTGTAGGAAAAGGTATTCTGTACGATTTCTATCTTTTCAAATTTGGTAAAACTATTTTTTAAACTAACTTTTTGGCCTCGACCTGTAGTTTGCCCCGGAGAACCCTGCATGCACACTTGAGGAGCCCTGGGTGCTGCGCTGTTGGGTGGGACGTTCTGCGTGCAGCTCCGAGCCCGGTCTGTGCACAGTGTGGTTCACGACCTCTGGCTCTCTCAACGGTGGTACTCGCCGCAGGCTATGGACTCCAAAGCTGATCTCAAACCCTGATGTCTGCTCATCTTACAGCCCCTCTCAGG